GGGACCCCAATCTCGAAGTTCACGACGAAGTCAAAAAGATTCGGATCCGAGGTCCCGCGCCCCACAGCGAAAAACCCCCCCACCATCCCGAACTACGCAGGGGAAATTTGGCTAAAGCCAGACAGCTAACCCTAAGCTTTCTGCAACCGCTTTGCAGTTCGTCATCATGCTTTTTGTTTGCGCAGCTGTCAGTCACAACATCTATAGCGGCAACACATGTGATCGTCTAATGGGCCCAGCTGAAGCCGAGACCCTGCAACTACAACGTGCAGTGATTTGGTTTACTCTTCGCAAGGAGGCGGGACTTACAAAAATGACAGAACAAACGAACTGGAACGATTGCTGCAGGATCAGTCCGTTGCGCTCCTCGCTGTTGCTATCTCATGTGCGTGAAACATGGCTGGCGATCCAATTTGCGCAGTTCCCGCAAGTAGAAAACCCTACGCTCCTAACTGCTCCTAAGGCCATAAACCTGGTAGGCACTCAGCATCCCTACAAACGTAGTTGCAAACAGCTTAGCCTTTTATGCTACAAAGGGTCGGCACGTTGTCGGATCAGTTTAAAAACTTGAAGCTCCAGGTGAGAACTTGGGAGGTCCTTGTCACAATGTTCCTGAAACCCACGTGCTTGTGGCATCTGTCTCTTCCATGTCTCAAACCTAGCTGTGGGACTGGAGCACTCTTGCTGATACATGTTGGAGTCATTGCAGGTCAAGTTAATCATCAAGGCCAGGGAAAAACTTCAGAACCACCTGGGACCAACTGCAATGACTGATGCTTCATCTTTTCGTAGGCCCGTGCTTTGGAAGACAAATGTCCTGATGTTGAGTGCTCCGCCTTTTAACGCGACATCGCTTGTTCATTTACCTAGTAGCGGTTCTACTTGCGTGCCGCCTTCCTGCGAAGACATGACTATATACCGCCCCAACCCAGTAGTGTCCTTCTGTTTGAACGTGACCCAACTGCGTCTTGATCGCCAGCCAACAACATCCCAAAAGCTCATCACGCCCACTTTAGGGCCAGTTTGGGGACGTTTGGGTGCTGACGCTCAGCTGCAAGCAGCTTCCGGCCGCTACCGCTGGTCCGGTCCGAGTGAAGGCTTTTTGCGCCTGAGCATTTCTGAGTTCTTGAGTTTGGGGTTTCGCTTAGGACAGTCTAGGCTGACACCCTCTTTACAACAGCTCCCTATGCGTGAGTGGTGGGAGATCTGTGCCCTTTTTTGAGGCAATCTTTGCGAAACCAAGTTCCTTGCCCGTTGCCCGATGCGCATGACACACAACGTGACTAGCCTGAGGCTTCATCATTTAGGGATGACGATGGATCAGCGAAAGGAAAAGAGCTCTGATTGAGAAGGGTCGCACTCTTTTGGAATCCTGGAATGGGCCGCGCCAGGTCGCGATTGCGGAGCAATATCATGTTTAACATGACATGTGCTGATCGTCTCTCCTCAACCATCAACGTTGAAGAGCCGTGCATGGGTGAAACACAACGGCGGCACGGCCTCGTGGCACCGCTGCACTTGCTGCACGGAAGTGCTCTGAGCAACAGAAACTTGAGACTGTCCGAAGCCGTAGGTTGCACACCCTACTGAAACTTCACTTGCTGCACTTTCTGCTTCGCATCGCCCACCTGAGGAGGAAGTTGATGGCCACATGAGCAGCGCAAGCCGCAAGGGTCACATGAACTCCGAAGCCAAGAAGGCCATGCTGCTGAAACATCATAGAGGTGCCGAACAACAGCACCAGCCACACCAAGAGGCTCTTTACAAAGTCCAAGATTCCGGGTCCAGGACGCAAACAGTCGCACAAGTAATAACACAGATGCAGAACATTCATGAACGTCAAAGGGGTTGCAATGACCCAAGCTAGAAATGCCTGCAACGGATCCGGGTTTGATCGGCGAAGAATTTCGTTCAACCAGAAATCCAGACCCATGCCGATTACGGGCGTAAGGGTCATGAGCCAATACACAGCTGGAAAGTCGATTTGCGTAAATGGCCTTACGAGCTCGTCAGCCAGTGGGCCTCTCACGTATTGCTCGAACCCCTCTTCACTTCCATACCAATCAAGAATCGACATGTAGATGAACTCTCGGTCGCTTGGCACGGTGCAGTCTACTTTTGCCAATTCAAAGCTCTGCATCTGATGAACGCGCTGCTGCTTTTCATGGAGGAGCTGGCGAAGACGATGAAACAACGGGAGAAAGGCAACTTGGGACACAGCTTGAAGAAGATTGCTGAAGGTCTGATCTGTAGCATACACGCTGTCCCCCCAAATGCGTACCTTTAGCTCATCAGCCAGCAAGGCCCAATAAGTCGCCATGATGATGTAAAGCAGCCCAACCTCTGCAAAGAGAGGCTTTAGCACAATGCGTCCTTTCGGATTAGCAGTCCGATAGGCCGCGAGCTCAAACACGCACCAAAGCCGGGACCTTTGTTTCAATTTGAAGCCATCTGCAAAAAGCTAAGACTATTCCGAAATAAGATGCTCTTCCTTCCTCCTTTAGCACCACCTTAGAGAATTACAGTCATCCAAAGGGAGCCTAGGGACAGATACAGCGGGCTCCATAAAATTCGCAGTTCAGAGCTGGCTGCCAGAAAGCCGCCCAAGCTGCGAATCCCACGTTGCATCAATTCTGGGTCAACCTGCTGAATGCATGCCACATCCAGAAAGTACCTCTTGCGTTGTCTGCGAAACTGTGGCAGGTAGGGCGCTACCAGAAGTCCGACGATGCAGCCCAGACATCCACCAAGCCTTGCCGAGGGTGCTCGCTGGTAATAGTACGCCTCCGAAAAGACTCCAAAAGCTTCCAGGCAGACAAGAATTCCTCCACCCACGAGCCAACCAAACACAAAGTGGTAGCCGCCAGACTGCACCATCAATGCGCGAACTTTCTGCGATCCGGGGGTATGCCAGGTATGGCTCAGAAAAACATCCAGGCTGTCTACCGCGGCTGACATGTTGTAAAAGGAACCTCGCTCTAGGACTGACAGACTTGCTGGTGAGCTCGACCACAGCCGGTCAAAAGCCTGTATTGATGATGTCAAAGTCACTCCTCTGAGCAGATCTTGCTCAATTCTGAATGTTACTGTCCGAGTCGCATGGGCCAGATCCAACTGCTCTAGCCCAGCTGCCCTTAATTGGAAAGCTTCAGCTGCATACTTTGCGCCATCAGCGTCGCCATCTGCATCTGACCGGGGAGAATTCGATGTCGAATCCGGATGCCACAGACGGGTGTCCACAATCACCTCCCGACCATCATGTGTTGTCCTGCAACAGCAGTTGTCCGAACATTGGCCTGGAGTACATTCGGTGTTACAGCTTGCGCTTTGGCAGGTGCCCATGGGCAGACGCCAAACGTGTAATTAAAATTGATCATGGGCTCTGTGAACCAGGGTTGCCAAGGAAGGAACAATGAGAAGCCCTGCTGAAAGAATTTAAACCACGTGCACCGACAACTCACAACAAGCCGAATGCAAGAACAGGTCCAAGCAACTGCACAGAACCAGGTCCCCCCCCAGTTCCCCCAAAGGCTAGCCTTTAAGGCTAGCTTTAAGGCTAGCCTTTGTGTCACCCTGGCATGCTTTGAGCTTCGGCCTGCTCTGCGACTGCTCAAGCACCTCAGACGCGTACGCAATGTGCAAGACCCGCAAGCATAGGAAATGCACGAACATGCCGCGGCCACTGGGTTTTGGTGAGTTTGGCGATGCCTATCAGTTCGCAAGCTCTCAAAAGACTTAATTTTGGTTTTGGGAGGTTTTGGGGCTACATGCGGCAACGTCAACATCCTGGACTCAAAGGTGCAGGCAACGAAGTCTCACTTTGAACCCTTGTAACATTGTAGTTCACGACCAGAGCTATTTGGTCTAACCTCATGTTGTTGGCTGCTCGTTTTCTCGCACTTCTTTGACAATGAGAACCGTCTACATGAGAACACATCTCGTTAGAGCCAGTAGTGGGGTGTGGCAACGTCGTGAAGGCCTGAAGACATCTGAAAGAACACAATGTACCTCGTCATTCTGCGGCTTTCTAATTGCATGCCTTAAACTTGCTTTCCATGCTAGCTGCAAGCGAAACATCCTCGAGGCCCTGCATTCCATGTACAGTGTAAACACTTCCTTAAGACGGGACATCCAGTATGCCCAATTTCAGTACTCAACCCGACCGAGGCCCGCTACTTAAGAAAGTGAACAGAAAAACCATGAAAAACCCACAGATAAAGAGCTCTCTGTCGGCGGCCTCTTAGCCACGCTTCACGGGCTCGCTGGACTTGATGGTCTCTCTGGAGTCTTCCGGGCAAACCACCTGAGTCCGGAAACTCTGTAAAAAGGGGCCACCGTATGACTGGGTTACTTCACGGAATTAACATTGCAACTTTAGGAATCTAAATATGCGGAATTCCATAAAAGATGCCTCCTCCTCATGCAGCCTTGGTCGCCCTCCACATCTTTAAAACTTTCCCACCGCAACCAGAACAAGGTTGTAACTGGTGATAGGTGTTGTCTTCCGCTGCTTTGATTCCAGAATCTTGCAGCATTTACACATGCACAGCTTGTTGTTTTGTCATTGTTGCATGACACCATCTTAACCCAACTTTGTTCAATACAACGCTTAGTCATGCTGTTCCTCTTCGACCAGCGGTGACTCGTCTGACTGCGTGGTTTGGGTGCATGCTGAGGTGGCCTTGCACCGCCAAACTGTAGAACAGCTCATGCTGCACACTCTGGCAAGGGCTAGGCTAGCCGACCACTTCTTCTGATAGTAGCGCTTTGGCCTGGGCAGTTTCAAGTGAGCACGCCCTGCCACAGGGTTTTTTTGCAGCACTGTGCTGCTTGATCTGTGGCACACTCGCTGACAAAACACAGACACCCAGATGCAGTCCCAGCATAAGCGAAGTTGTCTGCGGAGCACGCGGCTCTGCACCTACAAAACTAAATGCTTCAAAATGGCAAGATCGGATGGCGTCAAGCTCAAGTTATGAGGTTTGGACATCTGGTCTCTCCTGGGGAAAAGATCCTACAATATATCACGGCATTTTCCTATGATAGTTGATGTGCAATCGGAGTTTGTCATTCCTGACAGGAACTTGCCAAGTTCTTAACCTGATGGAGAAAGGTTCCTCTGGGCATAAGTGAATGACGAGAAACAACCGCAATCACACCACTTCCAAAATCAAGGGCCAGCTGCAGAGCCACACGCTTGGCCCGTGCTCAGATGCGGACATCAGCAGAGCAGCACACGAGGTCACATTGCTCCAAGCTGTCAATGTCCTCACACTTGTACAACAATGTCTGCATAGAGCTCAGTGAGCACTCCGGAACCCCTTCATGCAGATTGTGCTCTAAGATGCCTAAGCCGCATGAGGGCACATCCTGGGGCAAGGAGGTAAATTGCACCGTAAATCACCCCGCATTGCCCCATAGAGCTTCATAGTTTCTCACATCATCGCCTCAGACTTGGGTATTGACTTCGTGCGATGAAGCTCACCGGCCTCTGCCTCGCAAACAATCTCCAGGACTGAAATCTCCTGAAGTGCAAGTCGAAGAGTCTAAGCCTAAGGTTCAAAAGCACCACTTGTGGCCACAACATCCAGATGTACCAAGTGCCAACTAAACCCTAATTACCACTCACCCCCTGGTTTCACGGTTCAGAGGGGAACGGGTTGGGATGGGAGGGTTTCTTACATGTTACGGGGGTCGGTTCAACTACGGAAGCCTGTGGATCCCTCCCTTGACTCCCTGCCTTCTGCCGATCCCTTGCCACATCTGAGGGCTTCTCTGGTGCATAAAGACCAGCCTCAGCACAGCAAGCATACCACTTTCACTTCTGTCTCGTGTTGCACTGATGTTCATGCTTCACTCCACGACTGCTGTACAAATTGTACTCAGCTTGCCGTGTAGACTCTTCTAAGTGGGAGGATCTTTCATTGGCAACATGACAGGCGCTTCACCATCTGCATGACTGTAGGAGCACTTTCAGATGCACTCCTGGATGCTGCGGGATGAGGGATTCTGGGAGCTGTGCCATGCGGAGAGCCCGGTAGATCCGCCAACCTTGTGCACGCAGGTAAACCGATGAGGCAAGGAGTCGCATCAGTCTCGCGAGTCTCGCATAATCTTCTACAACACACCCTGTCTGCGCATTTTGCGTGTGTTGCCAGCAAGCTGGAATTGACCCTTGCAGTTGGGCACAGGACTGTGTTAAGGTGTCGTAAGGTGTCCCAGAAATCTGGGCCACAAGCAGCTTGGGATCGACAGGTCTCTGAGCGCAGCGCATGAAACACAAAGAGCCAGTTGAAGCGACACGGATGCCAGAAGCGCCCACTGCGTGGAGAGTTCAAGATTCATCTACGAGTCTGAGGCAAACTCCAGCACCGAGCAATCTTTCTGTTGGCAGCAGACGAAAACATCTGATACAAACTTAAAGCAAAGAGCTTGCATGGCTTACAGGCTTACCTGCTTCATGGTGCTCCCTCATTGCCTTACGATCATCCTGGTAACATCACTTGTCCGGTCTCCGACCTCCCAAACACCAACCATGGCTTCCAGTACGTCCACGATCCTGGCCGTATCGCTCAACAGGATTGAGCATGAATCGATAGCCAAATACTCTCAGAACCTTCGGGATCTCGGTTCTTATCATGCCAGGGGCACGAGCGGGAGCCAGGCGCAAGCGGTCGCGGCGTGGCAACCAGCATGTACCTGACCACATCTGCCCACCAGCCCAGCATCAGCTGGTCGGTCTGCTTTGGCTTTTCTTAGAATAGTCACGAGAAAAGAGATAACAAAGTGCATCTTAGGGGCAACATTCGGCGAGAGTTCAATCTTCGTCGCTTTTCAGTGTGTTTTGCTGTAGGCTGTCGGCCCTTCTCGGCAAAAGCCGCACGGTATCGCATCTAGCATTATTCTCCCGCCCAACATTTTGCAGGTGTTCCAAGTATAGGTTACCGACGGACGAACGTAGCTCTAACACTTTGACTTGGACAGTCACTTGGACATCGTCATCTGTCGGTCTCTTCGCAGCACACTTCCACAGGTGGCAGAACCGGCATGGGGATGAACCGGGAATGCTCATGCCGACAACACGGTTGTTGGTGAGGAGGCACGCGCCGAAAGCACTGAGATCCACAAGGGACATTGCAAAAACCTGGCGCGGCAATGCTCTACTGGAGAGGATGCATGGAACATCAGGACTCACACGCTAAGTGGCTTTGCTGAAGCTGTGTCAGAGGTACCAAAGTCAGCATGGGACCCAGGCAGCCCTTTTGGACGCAAAGACCTCGCAACACTTTTGCGGGGCGGTTCCACTCAGTTTCGCTTAATGCCCCAGCTTGCTCCTTTCACGCATCGCGCCTCGGAACAGGACATGCATGTCTCGATACCATCACTGCATGCTCAATTTGGGGCTGACTCGATGCTTGCCGTGTTGGGCTTCAGATTGGCATTCCCCAAATCATGTTTGCCAGCGATACAATGGCCTCGCGTGCCGAGCGCAAACAGCGGCAGGCTGCAAAGAACACATATCATGTCAGACCTGAGTTGGAAGGCACAGCTAGGCCTCCGCGGGATCACTCGGGCTCTCATCCTCTTTTCAGAACTGGTGCCTGTTGCATCCTGATGCTGTGTGAGTGGTCCTGAAACCCAAGCTCCACACCCCCTGACCATCCCTGACCCCTCACGGGCTGCAGACACATTGCTTCACGGCTCAGGCAGGAGCGAGGTGGTCAGAAAATGCATCGCGTAAACCTGCACCAAGCAATAACACAGGATGCAGTCAAGGATGTGCCATGTGATTTGCAACCATCTACCACTGGAAATGTCTTCTACAGCCAATCCAAAACTCCGGCACCCTTTGGCCGTGCTCTTCCTCCTCACAGCCATTCGCATCCTCAACTCCTGGGCACCCCGGCAGAATAGCCGGGGATGTTCCCCTGATAGGCCGCCGCACTTCGGATCATGGCCAGTACCTTGGGACCCCATGACAACGGGGACACGGGACGGAGCAAAGACTCGCAGATGTAGTGCGGAAGCTTCACCTGCTGTGTGTTCTTTGCAAAGGAAAATCGTTTGCACGTCTTCCTGCAGGTCACATGCCGAAAATCCAGTCAAGCCTTGCCAAGTGGTGAGCGAAACAGTTGAGGCCCGCAGCTTCGGTTTTCGGAATCACGCCGATTTTGATCCTAATTAATTAATTTTTTCAGAAGTCCAAAAGCGAAGACTCTGACGTCCGTGCGCCCATGCCTATGCGAGAGCGCGATTTTCGTCCGGCATGCCAGAAGGCCTCGAGGAAAAAACCATGCTGCCGTGCAGGCGCGGCGCCATCCCGGCAATCTAGCTACACTTAGTTACTCTGCGCATTGGAACCCCTTTCTTAGGGAAAACAACCGTTGGACGTTGGAACCCCTTTCTTGGGGAAAAACCATCGTCTGAGCCGAATGTGCAGTCTCTATGTGAAGACAAAAAAACCTGGGCATGCAAAGGAAAACGCCAGGAACACATACCTGGCCTGATACGTCTACTGCGATTCGCGCGTGGTTTGTCACACAGAATCAGACAGGCACCAAATCAAAAACACGCTACACAGGCCTGCAGGCAAGTCCATGAGGCCCCCCCCCGAAAGGTGCGGAGCCCTCCCCATTCGCAAAAGCAAAGCATTGACCAGCAGATACCAGCAGGTTTCAACAGGTATATTTCGTCCATGCTGAGGCCGCACGCCCTGCAGGGGGTACTTGCTTTTGTTGCATTCTTGCACAGGTGACTTACTTTGTTCACTTCATGGTCACGAGCCCCTGACTCAGCTGGTCTACTTGACAAGCACTTGACTGTCGTTCTGCAGATAGCGGCTCGAAATTCGAGCATCCAGGAATGGCGGCAAAGCGCTAGGTTCAGGTATGTTCAGGCACTGTAAGGCGCTGGGAAGTCCGCAGCAGTCCAGGGCCCAAACGCAAAGCCCAAAAATGGAACACCTGGCGCCCGTGTTATGCTCCATGATCACGTACGAATGCTGCATGTAGATATACCATGACACACACACACAGACACTCACCTGTGATGCCAGGTCCAACGCATGCCTTCAAGACTACCAGCACTTGCCGCACTTGCCTGCCGTGTGCCAGGGGCCGCTGCGTGAGTGCCGCCACCTCAAGACATTGAAAGACTGCCACATCCAGCACATATTGGACGTGTTGGATCATGACAGATCTTTGGCAGCATCTTTCAGCCTTGGCGTGGGCGATGCGCAGCCGGCTCTCCAAAGCGCGACGCCGAGCTTGGCGATCGGAGGGCAGCTCGCCAACCAGCCTGCAACGCCACGGGCACGAGTGTGGGCATAGCTTGGGTAGGCGTGGGTATGGTTGGGTGATGTTGGCGCAGTGCAGGCGTTCATAAAGAAATGCAAGAACTCCAGAATGCGCCCAGAAGGCATCTGTGTAAGCGAAATCAGCTGACTCCCCTCCCAAGGCTCCAGCGCAGCCCCGCCCTCGCCGCCTTTCCTGCCCCTCCCCCCTACACCACTACCCTACTCCCTAGGCCCTTGCCTTCGACCTCCTGCGCGCAATCGCTTTGGTCATGGATATTTGAGTCTTGGGGGGTGGGGCTGCCAACGAAGCCCCAGTCTCCGGACCTTCCGGGGTGCTAGTGGGTACAGCCTCCTTAGTAACCCCCCCACCTCCCGTCCCCTGTGCGCTAGGAGGTGCGAGTATGCTGATAGTTTACAACAATCCTCCAAGCAGCCTTGGCAGATTCTTGGCAGAGCCCTCCGACTCGACATCCCTTAGTCTCGAAGTTCATGAAACGCAACGACACATCATGGTTGCCTGGCATTGGAAAAAGACAGGGCTGCTGCTCATCGTCCATCATGCTCATCTCTATCCTGGGTGACCCGAACACCATCCCCTGCATGAAACCCAGCAATACCACGAACATGCTGGTGTCGAGCTCAGCTTGACACGTTTTGGTGACGGGGTTGGCATTTTGAGCCTTTGACGCAGAGCACAATTGTAGCAGGAAACCCACGGTACGGGCACCTGTCACTCTTACTGGGAGGATGTTAAGAACGTTTCCAGGGAGAGTGATGGTCGAGAACCGTGCGTGAACATGTGAAGCTCTGGTAGCATGTCTGGCATGTGCAGAATGAACTTTTGCTTAGGCCAGCGATGTACGTAATGTTGCAGAGGCATACTGCGCGGGTGCTGGGTGCCCAGCCACCCTGGCATAAGCAGATTCCTGGCCAAAGAGCTTCGGGCATAAAGAATCCGACTGCATTCTCCAACTCTACCGACTCTACTGCATGAAGCAGCAAGAAACATGAACAGCTGAAGGAGCCGCTGGCACCGTCATCCACGCAGGCCCACTGCCACAGGCACACACGGAAAAAAAAGTGCTGATGCTCAGTGGCTGTCTTTGGACACTGCTGCTCAACCCCCTGATCCGCATCATCCCCTAGCCGTTCTTCTTTCACACTTCTTGAGAAACAGGACTGTCAAATGAGGTGGCAAGGCCGACTGGCTCCAGACTAGTCATGGCTAATCTGACTGTAAGGGCTGGCGAGTACACTTAGTAGACAAGTGTATGCGGCCCAAGAGTGTGGTGAGCATCCTTCGTCCCACCGTCTGGTTCGGTCCACGCCAAGAGCCAAAGGGCACAGCAGGTGCATGTGTTGTGTCATGTGGCCGGCAGGTGCGCTGTTCAATCGTGGTGCTTTGCTGCACGAGCTTGTGCTGACGGTTCAGATGAAATGAGAGGCACACCTGCTAATTCGACAGCAGAATCATACATTGCTCGCCCGTCGTCCTAGAATGATAACTGCCATTTTGTATGCCTGGACAGCAGTCCTGTATGTCTGGCGATGCACACCATGCACTTTTCGTGAGGCCGTCTACAACAATTCTATAGAGATAACTCAGGGCATCGTGGCTCTGGAAAGACTGGAAAGACCACCTCTGGAAAAGCACATGTTAAGCAATGGATCAGCAGGGCACTAAGAGAGCCTTCTCTCCTACTGCTGTTGCGAACTCAGAATCGGCACACGTAGGACGATGACTGCGTCACATACCTCTCAGACACGATTGAGACAGTTTTCTCCATGCCCCACTCCGACAGCATCCGGCCTGACCCATCTGCATGGGTTGTAGGACTTGTGCCTTTCTGCAATGCGCAGATAGCGAACCTGCGAACGGACTTTCGCTGCAGTCTTCATGCTCCAAGCAAAGCCACAATGTCTCGCTGTGCAAGGAGCATGGCTCTGCATCCCTCAGCTCTCAGCCCCGGAGAGTCAGTTGGCTACGTAACGCAGCGTCGAAGCGCAGAAAGAGAAACAGCAAAGAGAGCGCAGCCATTGGACAGCGGACGCCGCAAGCTGGCAAGGCATCCAGTAAAAATGATAACATATCCACAGCTTGAAGCGCAGTACTCATCGAGCGAGTAGCATAAGCGATGCTTGACTGCCAGAATCCTAGAAACAGCGAAATGCCGGGCCTGCAGGTTGGAGACATTGTACATCGGGATCTCATATGTGAGCGACACGGGGCCCACCTCAACCAGAAGAGAACACCAAAGAAGGTCAGAGCCCAAAGTTCCCTAAGGCTTTCTTGAGCCGGCCCCGGCCTCCTTCTTGATGTTCTGGATGTTGGAAACCGGTGCAGACAAAGTCACGCGGCACTTGATGGCAGCCTGGCAAGACAGAGCCTTCTGAATTTTCAGTGAACAGAACGTCAGACAGTGTCTGACAAGCCTCCGTGCCGCCCTGGAACTTCTTGATGTTCCAAAGCAACCGATGTTCGCTAGCCAGGTACCTGCCGTGACTCAGCTTCTCGAGGTGAGGTCTTTCGAGCGAGGTCTTTCGCGAAAAGTAAACCTGACATCCAACCAGCAGTTTCTGAAGGGAGAACAATGAGACCAACTGAGGGAATTCTACGAGGGTGCGGGTCTCACCGTCACTTGCTCATGCTTGCTAAATGCTGGGTGTGGGCGACATGCTGGGCAGCAATGCAAGCCACAACAATGACACCCGTCCCCACTGTGAAGTGTTCAGACTGAGCTTGCTGCTCCGCTGACTGCCCAGTGGTCACGGCAAGCTCGGTGGAGACCGACGCGGAGGTCTTTTGCACGGAAAAAAAACTCAAGTGTGTTCTGCAGGGTCTCTACGTGTGACTGAATGTGACTAGATGTGACTATACATCACACCCGTAAGATTGAACAGCTGGACTCAAGCGATGATCACCCAAACTATCAGCTTTCAGTGCTGTGTAATCCAGTCCCCAGGTCAGTACCAAAACAAATGCTTTTGCAAGGCGTGTGCATGCCTTGGGAAGCATGCAAGAGATTTGCACGTTTCCACCATAGTTGGACTCAGGGATGTCAGCCCGGACCTGCACAAGGAACATCGGGTAACATCCCATTGTTTAACCTTACCAGCAGCTTATGACACCTTGATGGTGATCTCGATCTTGTACGGCGCCTGCTGCTCTGCAAAGGGAAATATCCTGACCCAGTTTCGGCTCCGTCTCAGCTTGCTACAGACTAGCGACAGGCTCCTGAAAGGCACGCGGAAATCGCCGGTAATGCGGTAGTTCATTACCTGAGAAATGAATCCATCAAGAAGCAGAAGAAACTGGTGACTCTCGCGGCCGAGGGCATAGCCGCAAATTCGCCGTCTGGCGGGTAGAAGGAAAGCGTGCGCAGATCCGAGAAATCCTGAGCTTCCAAGTGGCTTTCAGGCATGGGCGACGAATCGCAATTGAACGGATGTCGTACCGATGTCGTCTTGAGGCTCCAACTTCTTAAGAGTACTTTGCCGCCCTACGGCCATCTGAACGATATGGTCATATGTGGTAGTCTTTGCTTCTAGCGGGTCCCTATTGCTACTCATGTGTGGTTTCACACTTGTGTAAGTACGGAAGGCGGATCATGAAAGAGAGGGCCTGCAAATCCACGCACTCATGGAAATTGCAGTCATCCAGGATCACGGAGCCATATCCTGGCAAGTCACAGAAGCAAGCAGCAGTTCTGTGTTCAACCGAAGTGTCCAGTCCTAGACACAGGCCTGCAAACTTCGTGCACTGTCCGACCCATCATGACCCATCAACAACAAGTCGTTTCATGTTGTTTCTCACAAGCTCGCTGACACATCAAATGACCTCCTTCCCAAAGCACGCAAAGGACTTCCGAGTTCCCGAAGATGGCACGACGAACCAGAGCCCTCCCACCTCCATGGCTGCCACCAAGGTCCATGTTCTTGACCACGATGTCCTGTCCAACATCAGAGCATGGAGCATGGCAAAGCAAGGGTGGAAGCCGGGAGGAACGGCAAGCAATGACGGAACTTCCAATCTTCCCCCCCCCCCTCAGGAGTCTTCGTTCAGGGCCAGCTTGAGCTCAGGATTTCCCATGAGGTACGACCTCAATGTGTCTCGGAGCCAAAGACACACACACAAACACATGTCGACAGAGATCAGAAAATTTCGAAAGAGAAAAAGTTCAGAAGAACTCGCACTGCACGATTTTGTTTGCTGGCGCAAGACCCACCTTTAATCCCCTTCCTCATCCTCTCCGTTCTCTCAAAAAAAACATCTTTCCCCTGCAGAAAAGGCAGCAAAGGGGCTTCATCTGGATGCTGCCGTCGATGGCGCTATTGATGACAAAGCCGTTCGAACTCATCAGGACCTGCACACGCTCTGCCCTTAAGGGTTGCGGACGTCCAAAGCCTCGGGTTGGAGGCGGGGTCGCACCGAGATTCTCTCCAAGATGTCTACGAAGATCTCATTCTTCTTGTTCTTGGCATCATGTGTTGGCCCGACCTTGCAGTCACATTCGGTAGCGTCGAGCTATACGAGCTATCTTGCAGCCCTCCGCGAGCAGACGTGATCGAGTCCTCCCCAGGAATGAATGATTAGTCAATCCGACACGCTCAGCTATATGGGCCGTTTCCTAAATTAGGGAAATTTTTGGGTACCCAGCATTGAGGCGGCACCCTTTAACCCCTTCGACCCCGCGAGCTTTGCCGGGTTTCCAAAAAGGACCCTAATTTAAAGAACTGCTCATATGCGAAATCGTGTCCAATCAAGAGAAGACCAGCGAAGTGTCTCCTGCTTTCACGCAAGTAGTGCTCTCGAGGCCCGCGCTGGCCGGTGGACGGCATTGCTGGGCACAGTGCGTGGATTCCATTGGGGCAGATTGAGGCCAAGCCTCAGTACGACAGGCTGATGCCCAAACATCCCGGAGAAACTTACTTCAACGCCTGCCTGCGGATGAACCAAAGAAGGGCCCGCTTCTGCAAGGAATGCAGAAGGCTACGAAAGGATGAAGCTGAATACAACAGGATTCCCAGGAATTTGAACAAGGATGATTGCGAAAGTCTTATGCAAAGGGGTCATGCAAGGATTCTGACAAGATTAATGTGGGACCCTCTTTGATGCGTAGGCCCCCCCCCCGAACAGTCGAGGCTGGATTTGTCCCTGTTTAGACGCTCCCGGGGTTCATATGATTTTAATAGGGAGGAGTTTAGATGAGTTTAAAAAGAGTGATGCCCGGCCATCTTTTCTAAAGGCGCACCACGTGGAATTTTCTTACGGCGCCCGGACGATTTGACTTTAAAGTGGATCCCCCAAACAGTCAGGGGATCCTGAGTAATTCGGCCAATTTGACTTTAAAGAATTTCTTCCAGTATCCAGAAGATCATGAAAGCGGGAGCTTCCAACGCACCGCAGGACGGCATCTTGAAGAAGGTCCGAAACAAACTTCACCACCATCTACGAGGTCAGACGATGTTTTTCTCCCTGGACGACATGTTCGGAGAGCCAGTAAAGCGATGACCCAATACGTTGGAAACCAAAATCTATGACACATGGCCTGTTTGGAAGAATCTGGCAACCCCGGACAAACTTGATGGCGAAGAAGATGCCAAAAAAACATTCGCCGGTGGTCAGGTGGTCTTGCCAGATTCAGCAAGGTAGTCACTCGGCAACAAGGATCGATACAGTTTCCAACCAGCCACCCCAGGACTTAGTCGCAAGCAAGACTGCCAAAGTCGAGGCCGGTGCTTTGGTGCCTCGATGACGACTGCCTCATTGTGGATGCAAGACCTGGCATGTGTCCAGGGCAGTGGGGGGGCATCGCACAGGCTTGCACGCACACACACACACAAACACAAACACAAACACAAGTGCACACCATCTCCCGAAAGAGCCGTCAACTCAACTTCTCAACTTTGGGGTACGTTGCCACAAGCACTGTCGAGAGGTATGCAAGTACGTGAGGTCGGTGTCTCGGACCTCATATCAGGTTCACTTGTGTGCCTCGTCGTACCGACAGGTTGCCTTATTCGGTTCAAAGAATCAACCGACAAATGCTTTCCATCATCCAAGGGAGACACGCGGACATACGCACCAAACACACGCAAATTGCCCACACACACACACACACACACACACACACGCACACACGCACACAGACAGACAGACAGACAGACAGACAGCCAGCCAGCCAGACAAACACACACACACACACACATTGTGCTTTAATGGGTGCCACCGATCTTGTCTATGCTCACGTGAAGAGGTAGCAAATGGATGAAAGGTGTTATTTTGAATGTGTGCATATGACGAGGCCGTATGCTGGTGTGCTGAAGGTGGTGTTTGCGAAGTCTAACAATGCTGCACGTGCTCTCTGTATGCTTACTCTCGCTATGCTCGCCAAATTCTCTCTTGCAGCTTACGCTGCACCGATCCTGACATGCGCAGCAATGTTATGACTCTGAAATGTTGCTGCAACCACTGCTCCATGCCGCGTCACATGCTGACACAGGTACAACCATGTTATTTTCCACAGGTAGTGTGAATACTGCCAACACGACAGCAAGGATCAAGGACGTACAGCGCACAGCTTTACAGGATGTCTTTCATCCTCGCTTCTTGCAGAACACATCACATCCACTCAGCAGCGTCTTCGTTCGGCAATGATTTCTGAATGGACCACTGGCCCCGGCTTGATTCTGCAAAAGCACATCGGCATCCGGTGCGAGGCGCTCTTGTGTGAAATGTGAAGTCTTTATCTCATGTATTCCCCCCCCCCCCCCCCCAACACACGCACGCAGAGTCATGCCAAGGCCTGCGCCATTTGCTCTTTAAAATCGGGTGTTTGTGCAATTAGCCGGAGCTGCTTCAGGTGCTCTGTGTTTGTCGTCTGCGGGTAGCCTAGGTAACCGGCCATGCAGCGCGGCCAGGTGGCACACAGGCTTACAGTCATCGGCATCGGCATTCGACAAAATGGAACTCCTCTTCATGACCAAGGGGCCGAAATCCACCATCTCATCGAGAAGCTCATACACGAGCACAAAGTTTTTCCTGCAAGCTCCCATGCCATGGATTCGTGGACAGTGGTCCGAGTTACAGTCCAAGCCTTATTTGAGTCAAATGTATGCATACACTGCCCAAACGACCGACGTACGGAACGAGTCACGGGTGTCGAAGCTACTCGGAAGCATGCCTTCAGCTGGTCATTTTGTTTGGGGATTAGATTCCGTCTGGAGACCAGTCCTTATGCTCTCCTCGTTGAGCATCCCACAGAAGTCTTTGAAGACCTGGCAGCATGCGGCGGCGCGGCACGTGAGACAGCACGTGACCACGCAACAGCCTTTGCCATCTTGGTGAGAAGCTCAACCACGGCAGCGGGGGAGATGTTGTGGCATGTAGTGGCAACAAAGTACCTCGAGCAACAAGTTTAAGTGCCAGAAGCATGTCCCGCAACATCGCAACGTCCAATGCTGCAATGTTGTGATCTCTGCACGAAAACATCATGGAATGTATGGAGCTCATTGGACTACACCAGGCTGTGGGATGCAATCCATTCTTCTTGATGAAGACATAGGTGACCTTACTCTCCATGCAATGCAACCCAGTCTCGGATGACTTGAGTAGTTACTCGGCTACGCTATGCTACGCTGCTGTGCTGGGCGAGAGGCACCGTCCAAGTTGAAGATTGGAGGTGCATCACCGTGCCAGAATTTCACCTTTTCCGATCGGCCAGTCGGACACTCAAGTCTTCTCCAAGGCGGGTTCTGTGTTTGGACGGTTTTGACTTTCCTTTTGCCATTGTGGCATTTGATCACTCCGGGGCGAGCGGCCTTTCTGAAGAAAATCTCTGCAGTGCCCTTCACCACATCACCGCGGAAGTCACGCGTGATGATGGTGTCACCGCGCAGGGACAGAATGTAAAACCTCAGTCGTGCGATGTCGTGCGCAATGTCTGAGCAAGCCGGTCGCGAGCGAACACTCTGCTCAGAATGTACTGCACGCAGATTGTTCTACGCGACACATTCACTGTTCAGATTCTTTGGCATCGACTCCTTCACGGCGGTCCTACTGACACCAGCTGAGACCCCCGCTGCGAGATCATCCGGAGCACGCCGCGCAAACGCACGAGGTGAAAGGGCCGGGGAAGCTCTAAACCAAAACCTGGAAGTTCACCTTCTCCATAACTCAGAATACATCTCTGGCTGACGATGGAGCGGCAAAGCAACACCTGAAATTATGAATGCTACAGTCTGCTCCAGACTTGCTAAAGAGGGACGGTGGTTGAGGAAAGTGGCTGTTGGACAGAAGAGAGTTGGTTATGGGGTGCTTGGCTTGGAAGTGTACGTGGCCAAGGGTGGAAATGGAGGCTGATGTTTGGCCCTTCCCTTTGACTTCAGGTAACTCTCGTTGTACTAGTACCTTGTTTTTCGGACCGAGTTTTGTATGTCACATGGCAAATTGGTGCCGACATCATTCGGCTTCACCTGAGAGCCAAGGATGGTGCCAAGATTCGCCGAGCCATCGTGTGCATCCCCATGCCTATCGCTTTGTAGATCCTGAAATCAACCCGGTGCTAGGTAGAGAAGTGCGCACACTCAGTATCACCTAATTCTGAATCTGTACTTGAAGCAAAGCGAATGCCGCTAGACATCGCAGAGTGTCTGTTCCATGCTTGCAAGATGTGTCGGGCTTTTCGCACAAAGTACGTGCTCCTGAGCTGAGCAAGTCCCAACCCCAGAAGTCCGCAGCCTGGCAGCCAAAAGGTTCTGTTGTCAGGGAGCACGTGCTGACGTACTGTGTGGATTTCCATCAGCTTTCCTTGTCCATATGACATTCATCTTATTGGTGCAGTCTCCTCAATAGAAGTCAAGATTGCGCAGGTCCGTGAAATACATGGCTTTCCATGTGCAACTTAGGGTAACTTAGGCCAATGCTTAGCTGTCAAAGTGCTCGACTGTGCTCTGGCCGCCTCACGCTTGCGGATCTCTGCTAGAGGATGAAGGGCACCAGCGCTTTGCGGTCCTTCATGGCGCGCGGGAGGGAAGCATACGGATTTTTGCTCAGAGTGGTGGCAGTGGCAGACTATGAACTGACCGCCAGTGGAGATCTTCTCAAACTCTCACGCAAGCAGAAGGCAGCCACCAGTCTGACACATGGTGCGGTACACTCTTGCCCCTACGTAACACAAGGTGGGGATGCCTTGGGATACTGATCCTTGAACTTCTGCAAGTACCTGCCAGAGGATCTAGCAACGCCCGGGACTCTGGAAGACTTCTGTAATCGTTGATCTCAAACTCCTTCCGCCGTAGACTCTCCTAATGGCTCCTAACGAGGATCCTTGCGACGCACCATTCTCTCATGCTAGGACAATGTGACAACTACGGATGGGCTGCAAAACCGCGGATATGAAAACGCGGAAATTCAGCATCTTTCAGCAGCGATCTCTCCAACATCCAGGGAGCGTGCCAGCGGTGATGGGCTATGGCCTCCGCACCAGCAGCCAAACTCTACATGAACTCAACAAGCTGTTGAAGTGACGCAATGCCAAACTAACTCCTCAAACACATCTACTTGCAGTCTTTTTCAGCCAGGGTGCTCTCGGCCCGATATTGGCGGCCTGTATACGAACTGCTGGTATATATATATATGGTTTGGAGGTAAAATGAGTCCGCTGCGTTTTTGTTGCTTTCTCTTTCACTTGACATGCAAATATGTCTTCCGCATCTTGAATCTATGCTCACTTGTGCCATAGTTGTATGTGCTCGAAGTATTTCGACTATTTTGTCGTAGCAAAAGAGGCTTGCCATGGCAAGTTTTGTAGGGGATGAGGGTGGGCTGGTGGGACACTCACCTTCGACGAGGAAGTAATTATGTAATAATTAATTAAATAATAACTAATTAATTAATAATTAATACTTAATGAATAATTAACTAATAACGACAAAATGATTTAATAATTATATAAATAATTAATCAATAACATATTATAAATTAATTAATCGTGGAAAATCGTGGAAATTAGTTAAGAAATAATTAATACTTACATAACAATTAATAATTAATAATTAAGAATTAAGAATTAAGAATTAATAATTAATAATTAATAATAATAATTAATATAATTAAATTATAATTATGAATAATAATGAATAATGAATAAATTAATTAATAATTCATAATTAGTTCATATTTAATAATTAATTAATAATAAATCAATTGATAATTATTACGTAACCCCTTAATAATTAACTAATCATCAATTAATAATTAATTAATACTATTAATGATGAATCATTAATGAATATTGAATGATAATTTGTTAATATTTAATTAATAATTAATTATTCATTATTTAAAAGTACTGAATTAATACTTAATTCATAATTGAAATATTAATAATAATCAATTAATAATTAGTTAATCGTTAATACTTAATTGATAATTAATTAATTTACGAATTAATCAATCATTAAATAGTAAATAATTAATACCTAGTTTTTATTATTTATTAACTAATTAATAAACAATTAATTGTTAATTGATAATTAATAATTAATAATTAAGCAGTTAATAATTAATGGGTTTAGGTTAGGGTTTACGGTTTAAGGATAAGGTTTAGGAAATTACGGTTTAAGGTTTAAAGGTTAGAATTTACGGTTTCGATTTTAAGTTTTAAGGTTATCGCTACTGGCCAGCGAATTAATTGTCAATTATTTGTCAATGAATTAATTGAAATAATTATTAATAAAAATTTAATTACTTCATGATTAATGAATGATTAATGAATTAATTTATTATTAATAATTAATTCATAATTACTAATTAATCAACAAATTAATAAGTAATAAATAAATAAATTAACAAGTAATTAATAATCAAATTATACTAAACCATAAAAAAAACTATTAATCAATAATGAATTAATAATTCATTATTGTTTCATTGAGACTTATACGCTGTTGCAAATCATGCTTAGGCTCCTCTGCCACCCCTAGGGGTTGCAGCAGGGCTATAGAGATGCCGAAAACTGGAAAACCAAACACAGCCAAAACCAACAGAAAACCAAAAACTGAAAAACCAAAAAAACCAAAACCAAAAAAACCAAAACCAAAAAAACCAAAAAACCAATTTTGAGGAACTTTTCGATGTAAGGGCTGATAATAAGCCACTTCCAGGAGTTCCCCAAAATTGGTTTTTTTGTTTTTTTTGGTTTTGGTTTTTTTGGTTTTGGTTTTTTTGGTTTTCCAGTTTTTGGTTTTTTTTGTTTTGTGGGTATAATGAGTTTGCTGCGAGAAAGCAACAAAAACGCAGCGGGCTCATTTTACCCCCAAACCATATATATATATATCCACATAATTTTTTATGTGTATACATATATATATATATATATATCTGTCACGAACGTGGCTTCAAGCTCCAAATAGCCGAATATGGTCAGGGATCTTGACAAACAGGCTGTCCAGGATAATGGTGGACAAAAATGCAACACTGCTGCTGGACGTGCTCAACCTGGACCAATGTTTACACGCTGAAGCTGCAGTAGGGCATATGCATTGATCAGGTACGAGAGCTTGCATGAGGCAACAAACACAAGCGACGTGCTGAACTCGTGCTAAGGCCCCAGGCGGTGCACAGCGCGAAGGTCAAGCCCGGCAGGGCGAAGCCCATCGCCTTTGAATCTGTCTACTACTGTTATGGTGTGTTTCATTTTTATATTGTCTGTTTCATGTGTTCATTCTGGATATGATTTGTGTCATTGTCTTCTTATACTTGTGGTTTGTTTGTTTTGTGTTTCTGACTCAAACTGTTTCTGTTGCCGTCGTCATGGTCGTAATGCCATCTTGGAGCCGAGCACAGGCGAAGCCCATCCACTCCACGATCTCTCCAAAGAAGTTCGCACCTGGACAGCGCGCGACGTTTCCAGCGAGGCTTGAGGTACTTTGTGCTCACTCCTGAACAGTCCCTTTCAGGATCCTTTAAGGCAATCGTAGCTATCAAAAAAGCATGCACTCGCACTACCTGCGGGATTCGGAGTGCCACCTTGCGGTATTTTGAACATTGCCCCCCCTTGGCTCCTGGCCTGAGATGTACTCAAACATTCCCCCGTGTGGCACTTTGTACCTGGGTCTGGGTTCACGTGAGGGTCTAAGTACTTACCACATAAGCATTGCACACTCAATGACTCGTTTAACTCCCTCCTTGTCTGCACAATAGCTCTGCGACGAACAACTTTTACCTCTACTCTTCCTGCTATACCAAACGTCAGCTTCGCGCACCCCGTCTCGCCGGGCTTCCTGCAAACAACAAGGCTTCTTATTGCAAGGACGTTCGCCAGGTAACCACTGACGGACGTTGTATGCCAAGATGATCGCTCCCAAGACCTATTGTTTGCAAAGAAGCTCCATGCCATGCAACTAACTCTGAGCATGTGACCTCAGGTTTCTCAACCTGTGATCTGCATCCAGATTGATGTACCTGAGCTGTACGAGTTGATGTTTGCTGTCTGCATGGCGTTGATATAATGAGGCTGAGCTGGGTGCAACCCTGTTCCCCAGAGTGCAATGCCAGCAGCAGTCCTGTACATGATAGCATTGACGGCCAATGGCCAGTGGTGGGCGCAACTCGGGTCCTCCAGGTCATGGGGATGACCAGGAACCTGTGAACAGCTGCAGCTGCCAGCTCGGTTCCGAAGAAATCAGCTAATTCTGGGGCATCATTCCAATCTGCACGTGACAGGGATGAAAAGGATCCTGGCAAAATGGTACCAAGCCTCGTCAGGCTTCTGCACTGGATATAACCATTGGTGGCACAGAACCTGAAGATCTGCACAAAGCACACGGCCCACAAGGCTGCAGCCATAGCCTCTTTCCCTTCATCCAATATTGCGGTAAGCATGTTACCGGACAGTAAGGGTAGAGACGTGTGCTGTGACAACAGAGCAACATTTTCCAGTCGTCAAGAGCTAGACTTCCCCCTTCCTGCGTCTTCATGTGTGCCTGAAGTAGCCCCGGCCAGAGGCAAGTGCAGAGTCTCGAACTCTCAGCTCCAGGCATCATGGCCATAAGCATGACGGGCAGCGGAATAGGCTTGGAACCTTTCCTTGCTCTCGCGGATTCCCTTGCTCTCATGGGTTCACTCACAAAGGATGATCACTGTTGCGCCGAGAAGCAACCGCAACGGATAAATCACCGTCCGGTTCACCTGCCCCCATCTGGCGCAGCGGTTTCTTGATTCGATTCGCTCGTAGCTTTCGAGGCTCCGACATAGTGCAGAACAAAGCATAGCAGCAATGCGCAATTCCCTGAGCCTGGATGCGCGAATCACACCAATGCCCAGATGCAAATCGAGCTTGAACCGGTTTGTTGGTTCTTCCTCCATGATCCCATCATAGCAACGTTTGTAGTTTTAAGTTTGCCGTGAATCCACAGGTGCAGGAGCTCTTTGCTGGGAGCCACGCTGGACGTGCATGCCTCGAAAGCTGCGTATGATCGACCGAAATTAGGTGACCAGTTGCGATTTACTGCAGATGCCACATGCCTGAAACGAGTCTGCATCCAATTGCAGCATGGTGCAGAACCATGTATCAGTGTATTAACGAAACGCAAAAAACACCGCAACCACGACCTCTTCTTCTGATTTTGTCTGGGGATGGATCATACCCTTGCGGGCGGGTAGGACTTCCTGGCCTCGTTCCCGGTGGCCCAGCACAGGCCAGCGGCAATCAACGTAGGGCCTGAAGTCAAAATGCAAGAACACCTTTTGATTTCTGCTCGATGTCTCATGTCGCTTCAGCATGGACGTACTAAGATGCTGACACTCTTGCAAGATCCACGCCTTGTCCACCAGTTTTATGTCGGTCAGATCATTTGAAGCATTTGACCATGGAGCTTTCGGGCTTCTAACATGCCTTTACGGGCCCTTGCATCTCTGAGGCAGGCTCCGTCTGCGGGCGCACGTCGCAGGAAGCCAACATCTGGATCACTTGGCCTTTGAGCTGAGAGCATCAAAAAACACAAAATCGAGAGACATGGAGAAAGAAAGAGCGAGAGAGAGAGAGAGAGAGAGAGAGAGAGAAACGGAAAAAACCCATGCCGGGCCTCGCTGGCCAGCGCTGCCTCTGGTGGGGGGGGAGGCGGGGAGTGGGGAAAAACGCGCGTTTCTTCTCGGAGTGACACATTTGATGAACTCTCTTTATATACCCACGCTCTCAGAACAAACTCTCTCCACTGTTGAAACTCCGTGTTCAGCCCGAGCTGCTGTGATATCTCCCGTAGGGAGCTTCTACCTTCCAAGATAGGGATGAAAGTCGGACTGGGTTGAAGTACCGAAGTGCAATGTGCGCTTGCTATGCAGGTCAGGGTGTGCTTTGGGCGACAAACGACAGATGCGTAATGTAACTGTCCAGGCACAGTTGGAATCGACATCTGCTAGCTCTTTGTTGGTTACGCTTCTTTGCTACAAGCACGGCGCGACTTCTCATGTCGCTGCGAACACGGTTTGGGAAAACAAGAGCTCGCAGCAACTCGCTTGAAGAACGGTAGTCGCACTTATCGATGGATAGCGAGCTCAGGCAAAGCTAGCTTGATCTGCCAAAAGATGTGATTAGGTCTGCTTGCTGAGCTGTCCATCGTCCATGAGGGTGGGCGACTGAAAAATGTGCGGTGAAAACGACGAGAAATCTACGTGGAGCGGAGCTGGAGATAAGAGCCACTTTGGCTACTTTGTCTGCATTGCAGTTTTGCTGCACCACGAGCTTGGCTCGAGATGATTCAAAGCTTTCTTCTGTGCACACACTGTCAGGCATCAAACTACCCTAACTAGTTGTTTACCAGTGAGTCCTAGCAAGTACCTGTATGTCAGTATGCATGCAGTTGGTACAGCTTTCTGCAACTGCCCGCGCTCCAAGAGGCAGCCATGCAATATTAACATGCCGAGGGTTTACGGCCAACGCAGGTTTTTTTCTGGAATTTACTGGACCCTTCATGGTCGCGACAGGAGGCATGCTGGTTGATCAGCCTTGAAACCGGCTCTCCTGATGTGGCGCTCAGCAGAAGGGCATCAGGCAGTGTAGGTGCCCTGTGCGGAGGATGACGCCGGCCTTCCGAACATGCCTTGGACAGACATACGCTCATAGCTAAGATAGCTGGGGCAAAGGATCGAGGACGAGATGTCCTCCCTGCAATTCCCTGAAGCTCTAGGACAAGCTGCCTGTTCGCAGCCAGTCGCTGGCCACGGACCAGCGATTTCTGCTCGAGAAGAGCTTGCCTTTCAACATTTGCGCACTTTCAGCTGTCCTCTGATGTCCTGGATCGCCTGGAGCCTCATGCGCCTCCCCTTTCACCTCTGTTGTGGAATGCGAATCCTGTGTGCGCTCCAGGGTACTGAAATATGTAGATCGCCAAATTGCAAATCCGGCTGGTCCCATCACTCTCAGCTGGTCCTGGCACGGTACTGTGTCTCCTTGCCGATTCATATTCGGATGTACAGCGCAGCTCCGGCAGAGAAAGGTGCACCACGACCAGCACCGGGGTCCGTGTCCCCATAGAGTGATCGCCACCACATGTGGTCGGTGACGGAAGAACGGCCAAGCCTTGGACTCTGCAAGGCTTTGTGCTAGACTGTGCCGTATTGCACATCAGCCCATCATTCCTATCGCCAGCCTATCGGCTCTCGGGCCTATCCCTCATTTGGCCCGGAGAGCTTGAAGAAGGCATTCGGGTCGATCTCAGCCGCACCCTGAGAGTCGCCGATGTAGGCCATGGTGCCCTGGTGGCCTCCGAGTTCAATTTCCGCACTTTCCATCACTGTCCGTGCATAAACCTTCATGCTTTCATGATGCTTCCTGATATCTACAGCCTACAGAATTGCATTCTCGAGCAGTGCTCGCACAGCCGCACAGCGCCGCTTCCCAAGCCGGCAAACCGCTCTTGGCTGCTCATCGCTCTTCAACTCTCGCTTCCCTTCCCTTCCCTTCCCTTCCCTTCCCTTCTTGAGGCCCGCGGCAATATTTGAACGCAGGCGCCTCCTCGGTAGACTCAGACATATTGCTAGAATGCGTCTCCAAATATCAGGATGTACTTCTGCTCTATTGCACCGACGAACAAAGACACACGTCATTGAGCCGCTGGAACCCTCTGATTGCTTGCAAGCTGGTTGAGCCGTGTCGCTGGATCTGCAATCAGATGCTCCTTGCCCAAGCGGAACATGCGGCCCAGGTACTTGCCTTGACAGAAGGAAGAACTCGAATTTAAGCACCTTTTTGGCTACTCGCGGTTGCTCGTGCGCACCCTTCCTTTGCAGACGAGAGGCCCTGCTGATATGCCACCTGCAAGCAGAGTCAACCAAGAACCAGTAAATTGAATCCCTTCTTTTGATGCCACAGCTGCATGGCAGCACGGTGCGAACGCATACTGGCATACTGACACACTGCAATGCACAGTTTGCAAAAGCCGGCACCTGTGCAGTTGGCGGTTTGCCGCTGACTGCACAGTCGCCGATGGCGAACACCTTGACCAGCACGCTTGTCAGGTTGAGGCTATTGTGGGGTTTGTCCGGAAGCTTTCATGGCTATGTCAAGAGTTGTTGATGCATTGTTTTGATTTTTGGCGGCCATAGCGGCAGCCGCAGGAGTCTTGGGCTACGAGCTGCCCGCTTTTTCAGTTCTATGTCTTGCCTGCACATGCCTTCACGCGCGGCCTCGCCAGGCTTCGTGCCCTTCACCCGCAAGCACTCATCCACCAAGAGCCTGATTACGCAAGAGAATACTAAAAGCACCCTGGGTCCTAGACCCTGAGTGACCCTTGGCAAAGATTCCGCAGTCGGGAACTTGCCGTCATCTTCATCGTGGGTTGAGGAACATTCACTTCCCTCAATGAAACCAAGACGAAGGAAATTGGCACCGCAGCTTGGCAAAACAATGCAACTTGTTCAGACTCTCAGTTCTGCATCTTCAACCAACGATACTTCTGCCACAAGGGCTGCATACATCGCCCAGCAACCCTCGTCGATCTGTTTGTCCATTCTCCTTCCATCGCACCCAGGAGGTGTAGCAGAACACAAAAGAATAAGTGAGCGAGCTAGGGATGGACCGAAACAAAAGCGAATGTCGAGACAAAGCGCGCTGTGGCTGTTTGAGAGTTGGGTGGCAGGAAGTAAGCTCGGAAGCTGAGGAGGTTCACTTGTCTAATGCACTGGCCCAACACCTCCCTGAAAACAGGTTCTTGTACTCCATTTGCAGAAGTAGAAACGGACAGTAATCTGGTGAATGATGGATGCATTGAAGTCCTTGCCAATCTTTTCGCACACTGACCGGGTGAAAGGCCTGCAGACAGGCGGCACAAAGTACCAGGGTGTGCTGGAAACTCGGAAACGACAAAACTCGCGCATAGCCTATTTATGTATTTGTGTCATGGATGTATGCTGCTGGTTTCAACCCAGAATAACTGAGATTAAGCAACAACCGTAAAGCCTGCACAGGAGATGAGCGAACTCTTGGAAGCGTTGACTAAGAATCGTTTAAAACCTATGCTTTCCAACACGCAGCTGTCTCTGCCCTTGACATGGCTGGCCTCATGCCCACACCTGCTACCCACACAAGGATGCCGTAGTCCATGTCGATGACACCGTCCTCTCAAAAGTCACACGGCTTTGAGTGCACCATAGGCCAGTAGGCCCCATAGAGACCGGCGCATCGCGTGACAGAAGCCCAAGGTCTGTACGTCCAGGAACAGCAACCTCAAACATCCTTCTGATCTATCTTTCGCTTGGTCAGAGGAACTCGGGTACGATCTTGCCTTTCTACAGTCCACCCACTTTCTTTACTAACATCGTGAAAGAACGCTGTGCATGGCTGTGCACACCTTGGTCTTCAAGTGCACCTTCTCTTCTTCCACCTCCTTGACCATGGCATTCCTGAGACTACTGAGGTCACAGTTGCTCACAGTTGCAATAGACAGGGCGTCGAGGACCCTTCGTGACTTCATGGTGACACAGAAGGTGACTCGAAAACTTGCCTGCCCTGACACGGAACGCTCACAGCCAAGGTTCAGCTTGACGTCCACGCCCTGTTGCACATCACGGCAACTCTGCAGAAGTGCAGTACGTATGCTGAGTCAATGCAGAGATGCGGTTTTGCAAGCATGAACAGGATGCCCGAGGCGAAATCTTCCAAAGGGCGGCCTGGCTGGCAAGGTGCATCTGCACGTAGTTGCCTTGGCAAAGACTTGGTGTTATCGGAGAACTGTTCACCAGAAAAGCAACATTAGCTTCGACTAGACGTCCAGACCTTCTAGCCCTGAACCACTCAAAGTTCCCAAGGCTACTCAGCCTCAGGGCTTTCATCTTGACGGCAAGGCAAGGGGCCGACAGACTTGTGGAACATGGTAAGGAGGCCTGGGAGGGCCTCCACAAGAGTGACCTGCCCGATGCACGATCATGTTCTCAGATATGCTGTGAGTCTCTGTGAGCTATTGAGTATTGAGTAGCTACTGATCCAAGTGGCAGTCATTGACATCGTCAAGCTGGCCTGGAAGTGCTCCGCGATCTTCGGATACCTACCTTGCGCAGTGCGAATGGCGCAGGAGCCAGAAATGGCCGAGAAGAGAACAATTTCTGACGTTGTTTCTCTTCATCCCGTTGATACATTCCCTAGGCCCTAAATGCCTTCCAAACAATCGTGCCCAAACCCCAAACTTGTCTAGTGCTTAGCAAAGGATCAACAAACCATCCTTGCTCTAACTTCGGTCGCGTGACGCTTCACGTCCTGCTTGATGAAATCGGAAAGCTCGCCGCAAAACTCGACACCTAAGGCACTTGTGGGAGTGTTGAGCCCATCTACTTTCTCGCTCTGCTACGGGCACCCTGGCTTTTGCCCTTATTCTTCGTCCTAGCATACTCGCCTGCACTCTCGCACATCAGGCCCCCAAGAAGCATCTGTGCTGAAGTGGAACCCACAGTCGACAAAATCAAGGCAGGCCTGTGGGCCCTCCGCCCACAACAACGAAGTTCAAGAGTCGCTTGACCTCACACATGGTACGAGAATAAACACAATATTTTCGCCTTCTTTTGAAGTCATGAGCACACCGACGCCCATTCGCTGTCCACTCCTGTGCATCTTTTGCCTGCGCTCTTTACATCACAAATCTCCGAGCTTCCAGCAGTTTTCAAGTCCCCAGAAGCATTGGCAACTTCTGCGGTCTCTATGATGTCCAGCATCTCCTGACTCGGCGAAAGTACTGTCAGCAACGCCCTGAAGACTGCCTGAATAAGATAGGCCCGCAGGGCCATCGACTCGAAGCCTGTTCTGTTCAGGTAAAGTGTTGACATCCGTTGCCGAGCTCAACGCTCTCGGTGCCCTGGAAGCTGTCGAAGGAGCTCGTCATTGGGTTCGGCCTAGTTTTTGCCTGTGCTCTCTCGAGCAGTGGAACGCTGTGCCTCGCCACGGCCCTCAGACATGACCTTTGGCGCCTTCTCCTTCAGTTGGCCGTGGTCCTCATATCTGCAACATTTCAAATTTCCTAGCTTGCTGATACCGATGCCGCCGATGCCATCGTCGCTTAGCGGCTTAGCGAGTCGGTCTTTGACTGGACCTTTTTTGCCGAGCTTTGCACAGGAAGCCTGGGCAGTGAGAGCTTCGCCTGAAATATGGCTCTGCAATCTACAACTACAAGCACCCCATAACAACCCGATACGTACTCTATACGTATTCTATACGTACTCTATACATCTCCCAAGTCCCCCAACACATCTGTTGACCCAGCCGACAGGATGGACACACGAGAAATTCGTTCAACTGCTCTCGAGCTCACTGTCCTTTCGTAGCTGCCGCCCGTGTTCGATCTCCTTCAGAAACCTTCCAGGTTGCCCCCAGGACCACTAAGGCTACGAGTGGGCTATGAATACTTTGTTGAGGCTGCAAAAGCTCAACGGAGGGATCTGAGTAGTTGCGAAGAAGTGTTCCTGAGCCGCTAGTGGCTCTCGTGAGCCTGCCATACTTGTCGACGCCAGGGATGCCGAAAGTGTTGGGCTGGGCGCCAACCTCAGACATTCATGTCTACACCCTCTCGTCAGTAGCCAAAACAATTCCGCATGACTGCGCTCAGGGTGCTGTTGGCCCTGCCCAATACTAGCAGCTGCTACGTAGATTTCAGAGGTCGAGACTCAAACGGATGACATCAATGGCTGGTTGCGTCGGTACAACAAGAAGGAGGGCGTCTCGTGTGGCTGCAAGCCTACGGCCGACTGCTTCAACCTCCAAACCTCTTCACGAACGCTTCGCTATTCTTTTGTCTGTCAGCGGGACTTGTCCATCCTGAGCCTGGTGTTCGCACTTCAGTCTCCACTTGCAATGTATTTTCTTGGGTTGAAATGGAGAGACCACGACACCAACAGTTTGGACATGACCGCGAACCTTCACTCGGCCTCACAGCACAGCACTGGCTTCACTCGGCCCCTTGCTGCGACCACCAGGTGATCGTAGTCCAAAGTCAGGCCACTTTCGCAGTGCACCTCCAGCAGCACGCTGTGGTGCGTCCATGATGCATGCCCATGCCAGTAGTTGAAAGATGCATCGGTCGAGCCTGCTTCTGCTCTAAGTCTACATCCTGGTGCAAGATGTGCTAGGACGTGGGCATTCAAGGCTGATGGGGCTCGGCTTGGTGACGCTATCACAAGCTGCTGCGCTGCGGTTGGGAGATTTTGGGAATCTTCTCTTGTCTGTCCTTGCAACGTAACCGCAAGTAGTCGCAGTTGGGGACGTTGTCGCGGATGGGCTCGATGATGGCACCTGCTTCTCCGAACCGCGGACAGAAGGGAGGGTAGCAACTGAATCGACTGAGTCGACCCGTGTGTTTGGGTGAGATTAACATCTCCTACAAGGGTAGTTTAAGTCACTCACGTGAAGCAACGCAACTGCATTGATTAGTCTGGGCGCACCAGTAGCAGCACGCTGAACGTGAGTATCACTGTCATTAAACAAATCTTGGACATCTGCTCCACCCTCACACACCGAGCAGATTCTGGGCCCGCATCAAGCCTGGTGAGACGACGCCCGTAGTGCTGCCAACCAGCAACGGCGTGTAAAAGAAAAAGGGCCGCGGAGAGACCACTGTCACCTGAGCTCAACGGCTGTGGGTTCATCGGTTCATGAGCACTTGGGTACCGTCTTTCCGCACAGCCCTGACAACCTGGCACATCCACCCAACTTGGGAACCAACTGGCCAGCGCTTATCATGGACGGCTCACGTGACCAGTAGCCTAGCTTCCGGCAGCAACTACAGTGTGACAAACTATCGTCAGGCCACGTCGTATTGCGACGCATCCAGCTTCCTCACAAAGGAGAGGGCACCCCAGCCGGAGCCCAAGACCACCACCTTCCTTGCAAATGAGCAGCCAGCAAACTGCCAACTTTGCGTGGGAGCGCTCGTGAGAGGGATGGAGAGTTGGGGAGAAGCATCCTTCACAAGGTGGCATCGCCAATGGCCTGGACCCCACTACACAAAAGTTCTGCTTGGGTCGGCCAGCTGCTTGACAAGCTGCCGCCGCTCTTGCTCCTTCTTGGCAAAATGGTAAAAGACCCGCTCCACTTCGTACCTCTTCTCCAGGCTTTGGCTGAATGCATTCTTGACAGCGTTTAGCGGTCTACAAGTCCATTTTGTCCCTGAGGTGCTTGATGTCATCCAGATCGTCATTAATCCACATGTGCCCCACCTTGACCTTGCGGCAAGTGGCAAGCAAGCTTCATGCACTGTATCTGCATGCGAAGGCTTTGCACTTGCCTTACTCACGGCCTAAAAGTCTCTCCCCCTATCCAAGCTCCGCGCGCCGGCGAAGGTCGTGAGACCCAAGGCGCCCAGCTTCACAGTCCTGTCGTGTAAAACCCCAAGAAGAGGGAGCTTTGAGTTCATCTTGATCCAACAGCCCTGCAAGGCTGCTCTGTCACCCAGAATGCTGGTTGGACCCTAAACCAGCAATCGAGCGTTGGGCAAACAAATAGGCATGCAGGTGTGCCGACGTGCCTGCGGGCAAGTCGGCGAAACATAATGCCAAATTGCAGCAGTATGGTCTTTAATGGATACTGTTCCGTGTCCTTGAACCAAAGGTTCTGCAGAGTACATGAATTTTATTGACCATCTAGAAGCACAAAAGACCGACAAAAGGTGAGAGATGTGAATGGCGCTGGACAGAGGCGCGGCTTCGCAAGTCCAGGCTGGTTCTATTTGAGGTCGCGGCACCGCATGACAAAACTACTCCGGCAAGGATGAAGTTGAGAATAAGAGCCTGGGTACGGCAGACCGTCAGGAAGCCGAGCTACACATTACACAAGAGACACTGAACGCTTCGGCCCCGCGCGGCGCAAAGCCAATAGATCAGCTTCTCCTTTGGCTCGGAACATGGGATGGTCATGGATAGTCTTGCTTAAGGTGTGGTCTCTCCAAGCCCTAGCCCAAGCCCAAGCCCAGCCTCAAAGCTGCCTTCACGCCAGGAGAAGGAGTCGAGAGGCTGCATGTTTTGAGGCGTCACTTGGGTGTTGATCTGATAAGCTGCCTGGATTCCTTGGGTGCGTTGCAATCCCTTGAAACTTTGAAAGCGAGGTGTGCTATTCGCATTTGTGCTTCTGGATGCTGACTTTTGTTCGCGCTCATGTGCTAAGGCGACACCCGGCTAGATGGGACCAGATATGAGGTGCCAGGCTGAGGCTCAACATGAGCTGGATGCGAAAGCTTGGGCCAAGTCGGATAATATGGGGGGGACCAAAGCTACATGCGCCGTACATTGCCGGTGTCTTCGCGGAGGGATTGCAAAAGACCTTTGCAGCTGGAACTCAACGGACTTGTGCTCATGCCATGCATTTGCACACACGCATTTCGTCTCTTGCAAGGTGTTGCCGGGCTCACGGAAGCTTGTCTGAAACCTGCACGCTGGTAATGCGATGCCATTTTTGCTTGAAAGCACATGACCAACCATCATGTCATGACGCCACAAAATATCATACAGATTTCCATGTGGCTGGTGCATGCAGGTGTGAACGAAAATAGTCATCCACGCGTATTAAGTCATGAAGGTGACCTCAGGGATCCTATAGTGCCAAGTCCGGCAGTGTTGATTTCTGAGCACTGAAATTATTGGGATACTCCCCATGCACCTTGCTAACAGTGTCCAAGTAGGCCAGGGACCAGTTTTCCACGGTTGCACGGTACCTCCACCATCGAATGATGTCTGTTCCTGCATTGCCCAACCCATCGTTGCAACATGAAGCTCTGAAAAAAAGGCGCGCTTCTCCGCTGTGTCGGGATTGAACCTCGAGGCACGTAGCACGGTCCAATATCTTCTCGGAAGTTGCAATGAATCAAGCTGACATCTTGCTTTGTATTCATTTGCCGTGCAATTGCTTGCTTTGCAAGGATCACTTGTGGAATCTGAAAGCTGAGCTAGGCCCGGCACATCCCGAAGCATGCGAAGCCTGAGCTTTCGTGTCTCACCAGGTCGTTCCCACGAACAAAAATGCACAGTGGTTGCCCTGACGCCCAAACTATGTCTGGCCTTCTGGCTTCATGCATTCTTGATTCTGGACGTAAATTCCTCCTGTTTACTAGCCCGACAAACCAGCTGCTTCGGAGGCCAGCAAAAAAGCTTATAGCGTAATTATACCGGAAAGCGTGCCAGACTCATGAAAATTCAAGCTTGCTGGGTCTACTGTAGCACGGGCCAATCGCGAGAGAAGGAGCCAGTGACTGCCTCTGTGCTGCTCTTGGTCGTATTGCTTGCAGACTGAACCTGCCACGCTGCTCAGACATAAGAAATCTCCTTTCAGAGCAGCCACAGAAGTTTGGGCCCTGGAGTTTGTAAAGCCCCAAGTCCTGGATGAAGCTGGAGGGGAAATCCGTGAACACGTCCTTGAAGTGCTCATGGGCCAAACTCTGCGCCTGTGCATGTGCTAATATTATCGGCTATGAGGTGCTTGTCCACCTCAATTGTGCCTGCATGGAAGTTAGAGTCCGTGCGTATTCTTGCGATTCTGACAATTCGCTTACGGCTTACGAAATCCCAAAGAGACTGTAAGAGGACCCAAATGGGCTTTCGTTTGTCTTAACAAGAAGACCACACGGCCTGGAGGTGCGAGACTTCTGGCAGTGCCAGTTTCTCCTGCTTGCAACTCCCAGCAGGGGCTGACAAGCTGTGTTTTGTGCTGAAACAAGGACCCTAAACTCACACTCTGGAACCACACGGCTCATGCTCTGATGGCAATCGTTCAGGCACTCAGGAATCTCGGAGCCTGAAGCAAGAATCCAAAACCGAGAGGTTCTCAACGACTGCGAACCGCAAGGCGAGAAAGCCGCCCGCTCCAACAATCCGAACAACACCAACAAAGAAAACCAAACGGGATTCGGCAAGTGCAAGATGCCTGTAAGATATACTTAAAGACTTGGCATTCATGGCCCCAACGGTAGATAATGCTGAATGGCCGTTACCACGACAGCAACCGCCTGAACCCAACCTACTCCCCAAAAAGACCCTGGTCCCCTCAAAAAGGCCCGCAAAGGGAAGATCCGTGACAACGAGATATACATACTCTGCCAGCACAACCAACCTAAGGCACCCAAAAGAGATCCCAAGAAGTCCACAAACTGCCTGCACCAAACCAACAAAAGGCCTTCACAACGAAATCCCTGACAACTCTGCGACCTGCGCCTAACCTCCCCGGACCTGACCTAAGGCAGCCGAGAGGCACGAAAGAAAAAAAACTGGCCCAGTGCGCAAGGAAAAACCGTGACAACGAAACCAAGGCATCACTGTCACAAATGTAAAGGCCGAAAGTCCGTCGACTTTAAAGGTCCCCAAAGGCACCACAACAAGAGCCCGAACGGCGCCACAAAAGACACCGAAAGGAAAACAACAAAATCACAAAGGTTTATTTCTGAAGCTTCAAAACCCAATACTCTTGTGCTGGCAATGTCCTCCCAGCGCTGCCGGAGGGAGTCCAGGTCGCCTCCAAAGTAGATCTCATAGGCAAACGCATACCTGCTGCAACGTGCTGCAAAATCAGTGGAGTTTAGCACCCTGCAAGGCTTTACAACTTGCAGCAGCTGATCCAAGCGCACGGGGTCTGCAGCTTGTCGTAGACCCAGTCTAAGCAGGTACCAGGGCAGGAATAGCCCACCTGGGCAACGGGATGGGAAGCGCGAGGTCGCACCCAAGCTCTCCGGCAATGGCGAGCAGCTGCACCACACAAGAATATACAAGAATCCTCAAAAGTCTCATGGTCTAGCCTCGCGCCCCGCAGCTCCGAAGGGGCATTCGCAGTGAGCCTGCAGGCGCAAGAAGAATCTTGATCAGTTTGCAGACACATCTCTGACTGATGCAGGAAAGGCCCCTCCTGCAATGTGAGAACATCCAGCAGATAGAGAACGTGGAGATCCCGCAGCACTTCAGCCCCCACAGTGCAAGGCAAAAATTCCGAGAAAGCCACATCTGCCGGCCTGATCCACCTGCTTCAGTATCCTGAACTGCGACTTACGTGCGACTAATCCGCCAAGGTTGCAAAAAGCTCCGGGAATAAACTCCTGCTAAGCTTGATTGCTAACTAATGGTCCATGTCTGAAGGGATGCTCATCAACTTATGCGCGTGGGCCGGACGAAGAGGACGCACCAACCAATTGTCAACCCGATTTGCTTGCTGTTCTCTGCTCCGGGCATCCGACTCCATCATGGAGGCTTGGTTGCGATTCGCCAAGTGCTCCATGTCGAAAGCCCAAGGCATGTACATTCCTGGACATGCTTCGATGCTGGCATATGCTGCGTTGGGACATCTGCCTCCCATGGGACCCTCCTTAATCTCGAACCCACGTGAAGATTTCAGGCTTAACGGCTAAACTCAAGAAGGGGACCGAACACAAATTCCGGGCTTGAGCTGGGAACAGTTTGGGTGCCCATGACGTGACAAAGCATGAAGTCAAAATAAGTCGATGTTGCATGTTAGTCGCACCAGTATTTCATAGTATTTGTCTGGACCGGAAGTCATGGCAAGCTTAAGGTGCAAATCTGGCATGCCCGGCCTAGAGTTCCGCTGTGTATGGTGAGGAAGGTCCTGGATGTCACTTTAGGCTGTAGGTGCTGTAGCTTTGTGACTTTGTGGGGTGACTTGCCGAAAAGAAGTGTCGCAGCATAACACCGATCACTGAATCGCGAAGTTGAGCTGGAAGTCTAGCTTTAATCTTTTCTCAACTCGAATGCAAGGGAAACAAACCTGAGCACCAGGCGTCGGCTGGAACTCTGACACTAACCTCATTCACATGCATGTTGCAATCAAACCAACAACATGCATGTGCGGTTGCATTTGCACATCATTGTCACATCATCTTCAACTCAGCTGCCAACTCCTTCAGAAGCTGCGTCTCTGGCTCACTGAACGGCCTCAAGAGAAAGCATGCCGAAACGTCTGTGCGTACCGCAGCTTAGCACGCAGCAGCAAAAAACTAGCTAGCCTAATCGCCAAACGTCCGTTCCAAGGGACAAGCCCGAAAACTACAAGGCCACAGAGGCATCAAAGACTTCGTAAGCTCAACCTGGGGCAAGCGCAAGCGACCTGGATTCGTGTCTCCGCCGTAGCTTTCATCCCCCTGTTCGGGGTCTGTTATTTTGAAAGATGGCGTCACTTGCAAAGTGTGGTACAATCCCGGATCGCGAAGCCCGTGCCAGCTGCTTGATAAAGCATCACGTGACGTTTGATTCAGAACCGCGTGCATGCTAGATCCTGGACTTCTCAAGTATCCATCCCGGCCTGCCAATGCTCATCCCAGTTCCGGTTGAGGTCTACGCCACCAGGCCCCACACGAAGGCACCAATCGCCCTGCGGTTGAAAATCTCCAACACTGAAATCAAATTTCAGAATACAACTCACCCGAAAACTTCAATACCTCTGCATCTTGCAGTCTTAGCGCAAAAGCCAGCTTGAGACGCATGTTTGTCTCCTGCACTGGGACATACTGCAGCGCTGCAGCTCGGTAACCAAACTACTCAAGCAGTGGTGGTGCCTTCCGATACTCCCAGTCATGCGTGACTCGGAAGACAACAGCAGCTAGTAACCCTCCGGCAATTTGGAACAGACAGTAAGTCAAGCAGTAGGTCAACAGCTGCAGGTTGTTGAACATGGCGCTGTCCACAGTTGCAATACTCCATGTCACGGCTGGGTTCAAGACGCCCCCGGAAATAGAGCTTGAAGCGAAGCCACCCAGCAACACACATGCTCCGATGGCAAAGCCAAACGGAAAGTTCTGGGTTGACACGACATCTGCGTGCTTGGCAGTTGCCACACTGAGCACCACGAACGCAATCAATGAGGTGAAGGCCGTTTCTACAATAAAGACTGCAATCCAGCTGTATGGCAACGTCGGCTGCAACCTGATTTCTGTTTTCACGAGCGTGCTCTCGCTCTGGTAGGCCGCAACGATCGCACCGGCCAGAGATCCAGCAAGGAGCTGTACGGCAATGTACGCCACACCTCGGCCAACAGGGCATTTCCCTCGCCCACTGAAGACCACGGCAGCAGTGACCGCTGGGTTCAAGTGCCCGCCGCTGATGTCATGCACTGCGTAGATCATGCTGGCAAGGGCTGCGAAAGCCGCCCAAGGCGTTGCCGATGAACGCATCACCAGGTTCACTCCCACGGTGATGCAAAGGAAGAAAGTGCCTAGAAACTCGCTCAGAAGCTTTGACAGTAGTGTGCCCCCTGCATCCACCAGTTGCTCTCTGGATGGTGCTTCATTGCGAAGCTCTCCGATCCGCACTGCAACGAACATGGCTGCAGCCATTGTTGCACCGAAGAGTTGCATCCCGGCAAAAGCCATGCCCCACGGCCCTGCAACGGTGTCAGGAGCCCTCAGCTCGGAAGCTCGGAGGCTCAAAATCTAAAAACAACGGAAAACATGATGCGGGGTCATTGACAGTCTACTCTATTTTGAGTTCGGGAAAGTAGCATCTTTGCACTATCTTTGCGTGCAAGCTGCCGAGCTCCCACGACCTCCAAGCCCAGCGACACTGCTGGGTTGAAGACTCCACCTGAGATCCCGCCCGATGCCTGGCCGCCGGCAACAATCACCAGGCCGATTGCGAGGCCGAAGTAGTGATTCTGGTCGCGGTCCGGGTTGTTGCTCTTGGACGTAGACACGCAAAGCACCACGAAACACAGCATGCCTGTGTAGAGAGCTTCGAGGAACGCGGCATCCCAAAAACCGAACGGGGGTATCGGAGACACCCCAAGCGGCCGCTGGAAAATCTCATAGCAGGCGATGCCAGCCACAACACCAGCCGAGACTTGCAGCAAAATGTACGCAATCACTTGGGCCCATGGCATCTTTCGGGTCAGACCACAAGCGAAAGAGACTGCTGGATTGAAGTGGCCACCGGAGACAGGTCCCAAGCTGTACACCAATACTGCCAGCAAAGACCCAGTGGCAGTCCCGCCAAAGTCCACACTCTCCGCGATGCCACAAATAGCTATGGCAAAAACGAGAAGGTAGGTTCCAATGAATTCAGCCACATAGGGGGCCATGGTCTCTGCGAAGCTGCTTTGTGGCGTTGGCGCAGTTGTCGAGCCATATGTAGACAGCACAGAAGCATCTTTCGGCGAGGCCATGGGATTTGGAACACATGTAGGGTTCAATAACCGGATGAACGCAAGCTTGAGCAAAAATAAAAACAAATTCAGTTGATGGTCGTGTGGTTGCCCCGCACTGACTTGCATGGGCGCTAATATGGGCCCCATCGTATGATCTGAAACGTGCCGTCCACCTAACAAATGTGGCATCACAACACCGGCAATTGCACCTGCTCTACTTGGGCGCGGGAGCCGGGGTTTGCGTTGACTACCAACAAGAACTCGCTTCGCTGCCTTAGATATGCGACATTTGTACCCGCATGCAAGTTAACTAGCCTGTGTTGTGCAAAGGTCCTGCTGCGCACAATCTGGCTGTGGCAATGGTCTGTCAGCACGTGCTTTGTAGTCCGGCCGTGACAAACTACTGGCAAAACTCATCAAATAAGCGCCCTGCAGCTCTGCACGTGCTTTGTCGTTGTCGCATAGTGTCTTGGCCTGAGCCGACCCCACTCGACTGAAACTATGTTCGCCCGTCTTGGTGTCACTTGCGAACATTCTCAACATGAACTCGCAGTGGCATAATCTAAGTAGCTGACAAAATGTAGTCCAGATTCCGCAGAGATCAACTCACGAGCATGCTCCTGGCGATGGTGACTGTGATGGATCTTGAGCCTTGGCACGAAAGCCTCTTGCAAGCGTCACATGGTCAACCTGGGATGGTTCAGGCCCATGGCGACGAACTCGCGCACATGCAACACTGCAAAACCCATCTGCTTGAATCAGGTTAATACAACTCTAAATCCTCTGTGCAGCAATGCTAGCTTCGCAACATAACCGCAATGACTGTTTCAACTGGGCGTCAATGCGTATCAGCAACCCCGCCCCCGCACTTTGGCTGGAACAATAGCGTGAACAAATGCTTTGGCACAAACTTTGGAAGCACAATTGGCTTCTGCGCAGCTGGTGTTCACACAAGCAGCAATTGAAGTTAGGTTTTGCAGTTCTTGTCGCAATTTTGTTGCCCGCCCTGCCCCCCCCCCCCCTCCCCCGGCCCCACCCGGCTCGATGATGTGCCGGCTGTGCCACTCGTGACTCATCAGAATGCCCAGCGCTAGTCCATACCAGCATGTCTCAGCAAAAAACATCATTGGCGTCGATCGCGCTTTGAGCTCACCTGGAACTTCTGGAAACATTCAATTCGGAGAAGCAAGCTCGGATCTGTCATGCAACACAAGACTTCACACATCGGGGTTGCTAATTCGAACAAGTTTGTGTGCATCCTGGTCACATCGTTGTTCTTGTGGTAACGGCGTCCAAAGAATTTCAGAATCTCATCAACCAATATCACTGGAAACGAGAATGCCATCACCAAAACCTTGCACATGCATCCTGCACTCCACACCATCGGTTCTGCTCCATACTGCCGTGGTTCTTGCGCGAGGTTGAGCATGTCTGAGCATGTGAAAAAACCAAAATTTGGTGAGGGAAGACAAGCTGCCCAATCGTGCCAGTCCAGCGGACAAACTGCAAAAACTTTCGCAAGGAAGGGCACGTACAGGATCACCTTCAGATTCTGCCTGATCCCTTGCTGACATGGGACCGTGAGTCTTCCAACACCTTCCTTGACAGCCCCCCAACACTTTCCGAAGCTTATTTATGTCATGAGACCGAAAGCTCGGCGAATACCGGTCCGTCCGGTAGTACACTGACCAAGCAACGTAAGCAACGACACAGACAAGCTGACGCACGCCCAATGCTTGCAAAGCTGCAAAGTGCACCATCACAGAGCCTGTGAGGGACACTGGAACAGCATCAGGCTTTGCACAAAGCGCAACTGGAATGAATCTGGAATGCGTCTGAGGCATTGCTGAGTCGGGCCAAGGCACTTAAACAAGCCAGCACAAGCCAGGGATTGGTCCATGGAGACAGTTGCAACAGGGATCCGTCCTACAAGGGCTGACGCCACTTCTGACAAGAAGAGACTCTTGTTCTTTAACGCTGCGCAAGCTGGAAATCGTGCAAGTGCTATGCGAGCTACCTCTGACAGCGCATTGAAGGCATTGAGCATCTCAATGATCACCTAAACTGCTCGACGGCAAACACCAGGAGAGAGATGCGCACACGTCCATCAAGAAGCTGAGAGCTCGAGGCTGCACGCCCCTCCCCCCTCCTCTCCAATGCTCTCCTCGATGATTTCTACTTGAGGGAGCGGGGGTCCCAATTCAAGCAGATGGTGTCATGCATGATAGCACGACAGCTCCATGAATTCGACCCGGTTGCGAGAACTGTCAGTGACAGTGTAGAAGCTTTGACTTTACCAGCCGTGAAGTAGCTGCATGGCGCGCTGTGAAACCTTTGCTCTGTAAGCTCCGCAATGCCATCAGGAAGTGATGATCGGCTGCGTCTACCACCGACTGCAAGCAAGGAACGTCTGTCCCAAACATGGCATTGGTAGAAAAGCTTCCCACTCAGCGCATTTGCTCCTCCGAGAGCGACAGTGACTGTTGCAAGCAACCGGATTAGCGACACCCAAATGAAGGCTCGCTCAGTCTTGCAAGCCCAAGTTTCCACCCCATGAGCTCAGAGATAGTCACAAGAGTGTGGCCTTGCACAATTCAAGACATAACTCAGTGCTCTCCTTTGCACACATGACGCATCGTGACGCGTCACCGAAGAGAAAGTTGACATGCAGCCTGCATACGCAACTCTCTAGCTAGGCAGCCATCGACGCTTTCGTCGAAGCAGTACCAGTAGATGAAGATCCCGACCGTTGCGATGCCGACCTCAGAGTTTTGCAGCAACCGCACTCTGGAGCAGCGTGATGATGGAACCGGATGAGCCAGGCAGACAATCATTCGACATTCTGCATCCAAAGCATCCCATGGGAATGCAGCCCATGGGACCCTTTGCAATCAGAGTTTGGGGGACGGAAGTGATGGTTGTATTTCGCAATACGACGACAACCATTTAGCCCTGTGGTGCCTCCGTTACAATCATTTGATCGCTCGAGAAGACTCGAGGTTAAGTGCGGCTGGATTGCATAAATGCCGATCACCATGTACCGAAAGAACACCTCAGCGAGGCAACATAAGAGACATACAAACAAAAAACAACGCCACAAAGCTCACTTGGCAGCTCAATCACCAGGGACAATCAGCTCCCGAAAGCTCTGAGTGAAATCTATCACCAGAGGGTCCCCAGTGGTAGTTCAAAGTTCACTTGCACTCAACTGTGCCAAAGCACCCAGCCAGAGATCAACCCATCGTCTGCCCGCCTGCTTATGCCCATGCAGCAGTTTAGCATGAGCAGGGAATGTACCTCACGATTGGTTCATGTCCACATCCTACTGCTCCAGTACCGCTCTGCTGCATGGCCTGGGAGATCTGCACATGACATCGAGATCAGGAGGATTGAAGCCCAGCGCAGTAGCAGGAAGCCCATCCGTGACCAGGTTCACCTGCCGGCCAAGCCAGAGCAACATGTGGCGGAGTTAACTTCCATGCAGATTACCCCCACCCCCCCACCCCACTTCTCTGCACACCCCACAGAAAGAGGCTCTACGTTTGCGCCGCCGGGCCACCCAAAGCAACTGCACCGGAGCCAAACCTGCCATTGAACAGCAGAGAGGTCATTCAGGCACAAGTGGAGACTGGGCAGGCAAACGCACCAAGTACCACGATATTGTGGGCATATTCCTTTCCGGCCTTCTGGGATGCCGAGTGCCGCTGTGAGGAAAATGGAAACGACCTCTCCTCGTGCAAAGGAGTCAACATAAACCTATCAAATAGCCAAAGGATCACACTCTGCCAGCTGCACCATGTCGCTGCAGTAAAACTCGGAGAGCGTATGTGCAAGCCAGCAGGGCAAAAGAAGCTCTCTGACAGCTGACCAGTGACCAGTGAGTCACGGCCATACAGTCAGTGGTGTGAAGTATCAACCCTTTCAAGGCCTATGTTCGAAGAGATCAGGTAGCGGATGAACGCCTTCCAGGTACAGTAGTCGGCACATGTCGGCACGGCACACAAAGTATGATCCGCAGCTGGCCGTCCTTCATGTTATTGTAGATGGATCTCCCCTCTTCCACTGCAGCGACAATCGTGGAGAAGTTGTCGTCGGCTAGAACCTTTGCGAGTCTCGGTGAGAGCCTTCCACTTTTGAGCTCTAACAATGGTCAATGGAAGCACGAGCATCAACACTCAGAGTCGGACCATGTCTGCAGACTCCTTGGCTACCTGAGACTTGTCATACTCGAGCACGGGCAAGCCGTGTGCAGGACTGCTGAAGCCCACGGATCCAGAGGCTGCCAGGTGGCTTCCGTTCCTGTCAAGCCCATCCTGAGATGCGCAAAGCCGCAAAGCTTCAAGCCCGTTCCCTCTCGTCACCCGTCGCCGGACTCAGGAAAGCGACACTTGCGATTCCTAGCAACTGGTGGCACTGCCGAGGGGCGCAATGCCGATGTCCGCCTGCTTCAGTGCAGGGGCATCATTGACCCCATCACCTGTCATCGCCACGATCTCTCCGAGCTGCTTCAGGATCCTGGGGTCAGTTGAAAGAAAACAAAGGCAGCCATGCGAAGAGGCCTCAGTCCCATGCCGTGCAAACACGATACCGCCGCAATGTGCTGTCAACAAAGTAAGTAGGCTATGCAAGAAAGGACCATGCGCGCAGAGACAGCGCAAAGACTTTGTTGTTTGGGTTCGCCATGAATCTCGGTATGTCTGTTTGCCGTGGCTGAGCATGACACAATAGGTGGCTAGATAATGCAGCCATGGGTCTTGACGATCCTTAGCTGCAAGACGCTGGGTAATCAGATGGAGATGAAGTTGTTTGGGTGTGCCAGTGAGCCACAGTGTGCAAAATAAGGGTCAATTCCAAGACCGAACACAAAGCCTAGATGTGTGTGAGAAGATGAGACACATGTGCCGCCTCAGTCTCAGCTGTTTGTGCTTCGGCTCGGTCCTGGAGAACACAGCTCCTTCAATATCTCTTTGCGCCATGATGTGCTGCAGGACCTCCGCTTCGGAAAGCTGAACATGTGCAGCGGCAGGCTCAACATGCGCATCGTCGTACGGCAAACATGGGCATACCGGCACGGCATGCCGTGAGCCTTGACCCTGTCGCCATCAGACAAGCTCTCAAAGTCTTTGCCTTCGCGAAAAAAAGGCCACACCACATCAATCCTAAAGAGCTCGACAATATAACGCCACACACGACCCAACAGCACCACTCGTCACACCAAAACCAAAACACACTGGGTCGGGGGTGGGGGGGGGGGGGGGGGCGGCAGCGCGGTCTGAAGGACCGAGTAGCGTACTCCACGGCAGGACAGGTCTAAATTTTCCAGACCCACAAACAAGAGAGAGTCGAGGGTGAGCGGCACGGGGTCACCACAACTGCTCCCCACCAGATTCGCGGTGGTTCTAATTTCATTGCAACTCAACTCCAACCAGCAACCTAGTAGAAAACCCATTGTTCTTCTACAAGTTAGTCAGGAAGTCCACGGTGCTGCAGTAGTAACTCTTAGAGGAACGCCAATCTGTTGCATAGTTCTATCGGCAAGCCTTGGTGTCCCTTTCCACTAAGTGAGCTCGTTGAGGCTGTGAGGGAACCCGTGTGAAAGAATTCAATGAACATTCATTAGAAGGCTCCTTTGCAATCCCAGCAGAATCCGACAATCCTTGGTTTTAAATCAGATTCAAACCAGACATCGATCAAACGGGATTCTAGTATCTAGTAGGACTCTAGCGTATTACAACTTCTTCTAAATTGCAAGATCCGACAGAAATAATGTGAAATGACAACTCCTTTACTCTACCGATGTTTTGTGGAATTTACGCGACTCACTAAGATTCAGCTGGAAGCATGTAATTGCAAGCAAACCAGCAACTTCCTGAAGACGTATGCATATAGGTTGAGTGTAAATCCCATGGTTGGTGGTGAGGGCGGTGGGGCTAAGCGGCGGAGTGGGGGTAGTGGGGTGAAGGCAAAGATGGCATGAACCACTGTCGACGAATTCTCGGGACAAGCCCAAGAAGATTTTTCAAGCCGCAGAAACGGAGTGCTGAACATATGCGTCCATGGTGCCAGTGAATGATGCCTGGGCCTCAGCACAGGAAGTGGCTGACCAGAATTGAACCGATGCGGCAGGAGGAACTTGCCGTGGGGCAGCTGCTGTGGCCGCAGCCTAAAGTCAGGACGGCTGGCGACCTAAGGTCAAGACCAGGGTGTCCGTGCCAGCCAGAATCCCAAGCTTCCGTGCGATTGCCTCCTCAGTGGATCCACATGAGTGCAGCGGTTGCGAGGCGCTGGCAGCGTCTTGCAGCCGTGTTGCTGCAGTGCCCTGATTGTCTCCAGTGATCATCACCACCTCTTCAGACGACTTGCCGTCTTGCTCGGTTCAAGCCCGCCCTAGTTAGAACCAATCAATGGAGGTTTGTTCCCCGGGCGTACCCTTCAGCCATCCGTTAGGAAGCAGCTTCAAGATGGACGAGGCGAGCGAAACGGCACCCGCATCAAGCAAAGGCATGCGCGCAGCACTCGCATGTGCAGGCGCCCATCATTCACAGGATGCTGCGTGCGCTCGTGCGCCATGCGGAGCAAAGAAGCCAGCACCCTCAGAGAACTCGATTGGCCGAGATTCGCTGATGCCGGCCAGCCGGCACTCCTGTATGGCCTGGAGACCTTTGAAACCAGCGAGACATGATTTTCAAGCTGAAACCCTATGGTTGGAGCGCTTACATTCAAGATCTGACCAGAGCAGTGCTGTCAAAAGTGTAAAATGAACCACTGCTAAGACGAGTCTGACATACTGACATTCCAAAAACCTTTTGCATCTGTGAAATTCATCCTGGCTGCATTCTGGCCGAGGCGGATCAATCATTCCAACAAGCCCCACAAATGTGAGGTCTGTCTCCACCTTGCATGGGAGCACATAGGCAGTGTCAGTGTCAGGGGTGCCCATGATTCATGCCTGCAAGACGCTGCTGCCCACAAGAGCTCAATACAAGTATTAGCGGGGAATGGTGGGACGAAAGCGGGCCGAAAGCTGGGTCTGCAGCAGTCTTAGCCGACCAACCCATCAAATCAACCCAGGCGATGTGTGGCACTTTCTCGTCGGCAGCCTGCGTGCTTCTGTTGGATTGCTCACCTGGCCCACTTGAAATGAGATGGCCCTGGGCACAGTCCTGTACAAACGACAATGAACATCAGACTGTCGCCTCAGTTCTTGCTGCACACGGCCTGGCTGAAAGCCTGACTGCTGCTCTGCACAAAGGGCTTTTAAAAGCAGGAGGTGTTTTCCTCGCCCTGCTGAGGCTCAGATGTTCAAAGAACACTCGCCACTCTGGCCAATACCTGCCCTGGGCATGGTGACAGAACAGACGCCACGAACAGCTTTACAGCTACAAGTGTTCGTCAGCCGCTAGCCTTCGAAACACACCTGGCGACACTCTACAAGCCTTTGGCGTAGCCCATCCTCTTCAGACCATGCAGCGCAAAGTCCAGGGCGGGCGGGTTCCTTTGCAAAGCAGCAACGTGGCTCTTGTAAGTCTTGAGAGGTACAGCGCTCGCTCGTCTAGCTTGGTTGCTCTTGTAGTTCAGAGTGTGCCAAACCGGGCAAAGCCCGTAAAGCTGAAAAGCTTGCCATTCAAGTCTGCCAACCACGACAAGGCAAAGATTGCCAAAGCTCGAATATTGAATACGAAATTGTACAAAATCGTCGTCACAATAAGCTACTGCGCGCACGCGGCCCGGCAAAATCATGTTGCTGCCGCTGTGCTCAATGGTGCCTGGGATGGGTGGCAGCTTCCCATCTGCCATGCCACGAATGTTCTTGCGCAGTACCTCCAGCCCCGGAGGGATATTACAACAGATGAACTCCTGCACTCCTGCATGCCGTCGCAATGTCATGGCTGTCCTAACGCAGGCGGCCACGAGTTCGGCTCGTGATTCCAAAAAAAACAACTGACAAGCAAACCCGCAAACTGCAGGCCTTGCCACTCCGAGTCTTCGGTAGTTGCTCCACGACCTCAACAAGGCTGCAACAAGGCAGCACCAGGCTCAAAAACTCACGGCTGTGAGGGCTTGCTTCTCCTTCTCCCGATAGTAAAGCGGCCTCGGCGGCTGCCAAGGAGGCGATCGCCCCAATGTCGTGGCGGACCTGCGCCTTGACTTCCTGCACCTCAAAGTCATGCTCTCGAGTGCTGAAGCTGACATATCACTCCTTGGGACCTGTTGCAACTGATACTGAGAGCTTGGCGATCTCCTCTGTGCTGCGAGATGTGTTGTCCATGAGCACAAGCAAGGCGATGGGCACCTGGGGAAGCTCTCCAACTCTAGGGTTTAACTTAAGAGCTACACTCTCTCAAGGTCCAAAAGCGGGTGTCAGTCGTGCTACTCAGCTGAAAAGCAGGTCCCAAGCTCCAGAAAAAACCGATTCCCCTGACCTGCCCCTTGAGCTCATCGGCAGCACCAACGACGGCACAATCATTGATGTCCTTAGCGCATGCCCATACCGAGCCGTTCTAACAAAAAGTGCAGCAATCGGCAACCACAGCAATAGGTTCTCCAGGCGAAGGCACATGCAGGACGAGCAGCCTAGGCCTAATTAGGAGGTGGCTGCAAGACAGCAAGCTCTTTAACCTCTTGGTGCATCTGAGCCACTGGGTGAGCCTTGATGCAGGCCTCTATTTGCCCGCAGCTCAAGCGATGTGCTGCCACATTTATTACATCATCGCTGCCTGGCTGCGGCTGTGTTCTGGGGCGAGAGCCGACAAGCGTCTCCGGGGTCTAGTGGTTCTCCCTCTCGTGGCTGGTGATTGCCGCATTTTGGAAGGCACCCCCAACCCCCAACACTTCCCCCCCCCATCCACCGCTTCTGGCTTCAGCTCTTTGCTGGGCTAGTCAACCCTTGGAGGCAGGGAAGGAAGGCCCGACAACTCTTGGAGGCCTTGTCGAGGCTGTATGTCTTCTTGTTGTTGCTTGCTGCTCTTCTTCCTTTGGCGCTACTTGCATAGCTGCTGCTACAAGCAAAACTGCAAGGGCTGGGATTCCGCGAGTCCACCGTCTGCTTCGCGTCTTCAGAAGACTGAAAGATGAAGGCAGATGAGGTGATGAGGGCGTGATCTCCTGCTGTATGTAGCTGGGCCACCAGCACAAGTGGTTTCAGAGCTTCAGCGCAATTCGAACCACACCCCGGCAAATATTTGACGGTGGAATGTCGAAGTCTGAAGGCCTTTCTTTTCCCGCAGCAAGTATAATTTAGCCAGGCTGCGTTCCAGGACACTGATATACCCATGGTCATCAATCACACCTGAATCGCCGCTGTTGTAGTAGCCGGGAAACTCCTCGAGGTAGCCCTTCACAAAACCTGTCGGCTCGCATTCTCCCATCCCAGGTTGCTGCAGGAATTCTTTATGATCGTCTCTCGCATCACAACCGCATGAGAGCAATGTGTGGAAACAAGGTGGAAGGAAGGGGCTCTAGCATGCTCTAGACTCTAGCTGTTGACGGAAGAAACAATCAGCTACTGTAGTCGAGATCCAGCCGAATCGAGTTGACACGCAGATGCGCAGTGGGGTCATTGCAGAATGACATGCATTATAACGCTCTGGCAGCACTGTCCTTGGACAGTAACATGACACAAACGGCGCAATACTTGTCTGGTACGGTGCTGTCAGGCTGCGTTGCAGCCATCTTTGACACATTTTGTGCGGGGATGAGAAGTCTGCAAAACACTTGGGACATCCTCGCACATTTTTTGAAACGCGTGCACGCACTGTTACACACTGCTGCTTTGGAAGTGCGAAGTGCAGGAAGTTCGGCCCCCTTCCCCACACTGGCACAGGGTGCATCTGGGGTGCCTCAGACCTCGGGCCTTTGCATCTTTGCATTCTCGCTATAGACAGAAGGCCGATTCTCTGAGACCGAGCGAAAGGGGAGAGGGTTGTGTCGGTGTGCCTTCGTCGTTCTTCCACAGCGTGGGAAAAGTCCCCGGCGGCAGAGGCAGTTTCACAACCAAGTGGCCAGCCTTATCAGCTTTGCACGCAAACATGCCCCCTCTGCCATTGAGAGATCGCAACAGAGTGCTGACTGTGGTTCTTGTTATTCATGATCCATGCTTATGGCATAAAAAGTAGGCGACAGGCATGGTTGGGCTCGTTCATGATGTGACCACGTTCATCACAAACCTGGGCTTGCAAGCTGCGCACAAGCCTAATGAATGCACCTCACAATGGGTCCACTCTCACTTGCCTCTGACCTTTTGACCGAGGTCTACAGAACAATTTGCGAAACAAGATCTAGCTGCTCCAGCTTTGTTTGAGCCCAGATGCTGCAACAGAGTAGCCGAAGAGCGGCAAGCCAGCGCTGCCATCCTGAAAAACACCGCGGCCGGAGACTCAACACCGCATGCCCGTGCACGATGCATGCTGACAGGCTGTGATGGGCAACTTCAGGAAGCAGACATGTCCTTCCGTCCGACTGAATCGTCTTGCAGGCCGCAGATCGGATGCCCTGAAGGGCTTGCTGGGCAAAGGACATGGGACACAGAGCACTGAGCCATGCAAAAGCTTTGCGATCGGCATCCCAACATGCTTCTGGGAACATGTGCAAGACATCAAGAAAACTCACCCAGTAGCAGCTGCTGCATCATCTGCCATGTTTGCTACCCCGGTCAACTCGCTTCATCCAGCCGAATCCAGCCTGTTTCTGTTTGCCACCAATTGTCGTAGTAGCCGGTATTCAGCACCGACGCATAGAAGCGGCTCCTTACACTTACTCTAGACCAGTGGCTGCGAGCGATGACTTAACGGATGGGCACAGCCTCGGGTTCAGCATTCCTACTGCCCATGCTGTGTCAGCCTTGTTACCCGTACCTTGACTTCTTGCTCCAGGTGGCGTTTCCGGATCGCTTCTCTCTCCAGCTACGAAGAGTGATCGAAGGCAGGACAAGTTGTACTTTCCTGCGCTCGCATGGAGGCTGGTGCTCTAAAACAATTGCTCTTTGTCTCTCTCCTTCGAGCCGAGCTGCGCACCAGGGCCCCCTCAGGGTCCACACGTCGAATGGCTCGAAGGGCTGTGGGTGCCAAGAATAGAGCGCGGACCTCGTATTCCTGGAGGCAGATATTGCAACGAAACAGCTCGGCGTGGTTCAGCACTCGAAACTTGAGCCGTCGCTTGGAACATCACCTCGACCACACGCCAGAAGGCGCCAGCGTCTGGCGTGCCGATGGGTTTGCCTTCATAGAGCACCTTGGGCCATGACCGGGCGGCTTCGTTGCACATGCGCCCAGAGCCATGCAGCCTCAGCATTCTTAGTCCCTGGCAGTGGCGCAGCCCTGCAGCAAAGGCCCATAAACAATATAGGAATGGCCAACGACCTTTGTGCAGCTCTGAACAGCACAAGTACAGTGCAGCTACGCTTCAGCACAAGTACAGAGCATGTAGAATCCAATGTAGAATTGCCTTGAAGCTTGTCGACTTGCAACAAGGTCGCCCAACCAATGTCGGAGGCTGCCCAATATGTTTCACCCGGTGCCATGCTCATGAATTGCTCCATGGATGCTTTCAGAGCCACCTTGCGAAATCCCCGCATGGTAGCTGGAATCATGGTTGGTGCATGAGGCCGATCCAAAAGCACTGGTGCACAAGATCCCAAAGTCGCTAGCATTTACACCTTGCAGGATCGCACGTTGCTAACTCCGGCATGGTCTGCAACCAATGGCATGAATGATGAGCCGCCGCGACGCTGCATAGCCACCGGTGTCGCGCAGGACGCCTTTGGGCTTGCCGGTGGAGCCAGAGGTGTACAGCCTCCAGCACTGCATTGCGGCAACATGCCCCACATGTCTCAGCATTGCCCAAACAGCAAACTTCAAACCCAAGGTCCAGATCAACCAGGTGGCATGTAGAGCGGATCAGTTGCATCCACTTGTTCCTTGCTGTCCGCGGTTGACTTATCGTTTGCACCCCTGCTCATGAGCGAACCCATCGGTCGTTGAAATTTGCACATGACCAAGATTTGCACAAGCTTCGCAGGGGGCTTCCTCTGCAGTTGCAAGAACATCATTCCAGTCCTGCAGGTCGCAGAGTGCACTCGAATGCAAGTCTATCGCAGGCGTCAAAGGCTTGCTTCCTTGACATGGCCCTCCTATCGAAAGAGTTTGCACCAGTCCAATGCTTTCAGTAGCTGATGAGCAATTGATCGTGGATGACATGCAGCACGGGCTTCAGAAATGTCTCATGTCCAGATCTCCATCTTCCAGAGAAGCGGTTGCTTGAGGGCGTTGCTTGCAGATGCGGACCTCGGATCGGCCTGCCTATGTCCTCGTGCATTATTTCAGCACTGAGCAACATGGGAATGTAGCCGAATGTAGCCATGAAGCAACCCGCGCCAATGCGCTACATTACATTGGGAGCGTGTTGCGGCAGTGGCTGTCAGGGACTATCACTTTCACAGTCGTTGCCATTCGCTTTGCCACGTGGCGGGTGGAGCCTCCACCAACTCCAAGGCTTCTCGGATCATCGGCTGATACGCCACTGGTCCTCGTACCAAATGGAACACAACATCACCAAACGAATCGTCACACTTTGCTCGTCTTTGTCGCATTAAGTTCAAGGACTGCTGGCACTTTGGGGACCACGTATGAGACTCCGAGGATATTTCGAGAAGCTCTGGTGGTCCTTTCGGCTCCAAACCACATGAAGCCCAGATGATGGCCTAAGCAAGGTGGGGCAAGGTTCAGCTAAACATCGCTGCGGGCAATGTTGGTAAACTAAGTAAACTATGGCCCACCTTCGGTTGGAAGTCCTCCAGGCGACTTGCCAGCTCAGGCCTGGGCTTTCAGGTTCAAAGGCAGATTGAAGAGAACTCTCAAAGGTCATCGCATTCTTGCAACCGCGCGGCCCGGCGAAGCCCCCGAAAACAACCGAGTGAGGAGCTCCCAAACGTGCACAGGCCAGCATGGCAAAGACGGCCTGCTCAAGTGTGACAGTGTGACCTATACCATGGGTCCCAACCAAGTCCCAGGTTTGCCCCCGTGCTCTGTTGCAACATGCGGCACTCCCAGCAGCGCACTGAAGCCGGCTTCAAGATCAGGCCTCTGGAATCATGGGCATGTAGATAATCACCTCAGCGGTGCAACCAGGCCTGCGCTCGCCCTCCTTGCGCCCAGTCTAGCTGTAGACAGTAGTACAGTCCTTCATGTCCAGTGTTGCCATTACCCTAGGAATGGAGCGCGCTGTGACGCGCATAGTGGCACTATGTGGCACTACGTGGCACTATGTGGCACTATGTGGCACTATGTGGCACTTTGTGGCACTATGTGGCACTGTGACGATTCACCAGTTTCTTCCGACAGCGACATGCTGCAAGTACTTAGGAACATAGGTGGTCAGCAACAAGAGACGGTTCTTGCCACACAAGTTGCTCGGTCGCCTTTGCCGATGCCAAGTTTGGACAGTGCGCCGGCAGTTCTGCCAACCTCTGGCACTAGTTGAGAATGAGGTGTGTGTCTAAGATTTCTAAGGAATCACCTCCTATTATATGGGTTGCTAAAATAAGCCCCAGCTAAAATCTATTCATCCGTTCCAGGGTTATCGTGTTTTTTAGATGGACGCTTAACAGGGTTTGGTGGAACAGCCTACAAATTCATGGCTTAGAACAGGAATGAACGTTTCGGTGAGCCGGCGGGAGTTTCATCAATTTGTTGTGCAATGCTAACACTGGAACCCACGTTCTCGTGAGTTGGCTGGAGTTTCGTTGGTCTGTAGTTCAAGCTAAGTACTGGAACCGGCGTTCCCATAAGCCGGCTCGATTTTCATTGCTGTGTAGTACAGGTTTAGTAGCCGGAGTGTAGTGTATGTACAAGCTTAGTACTGGAACCGACGTTCCCGTGCCCGCTGGATTTTCATTCATTTGTACTACTCGGCTGGATCTTCATTGGTTTGTAGTACAAGCTTAGTACTGGAATATCGCCGGTCGGACCATACTATAAAGTTATTGTTCTTTCTTGATTGTCATTTTACGAGTCAGAAGCACTGCGCCAAACTCTTCGCGGGGTTCTTATACGCCCCCCCAGATTGCCTCTGCTACTTTTTCTGTAGGCAACAAGCACTGAGCTTCCTGTTTCACAACTCACGGCACAAGTCGAGCCTCTCGCTGAAGCTGACTGTAGTCGTAGGTCTCCTTCACCTCATGGCATCATAGGACACGTCGCACGAGACGACGAAGTCGCAGGATAAGATGTTGCAACAGGACATTGCTCATGTGTCGGATGACTCCGCAGTCTTGCAGCAGCCTCTTGCCTGGGGCATCAAGTCACAGCGAACCAGTCAAAAGAACTTCCAAAAGCCGCGTTGCGCCGGCCAGAGGCGAATCGTATATGAGCGCCGTGCGGTCGCCATTGCCTTGCTGGGCCAGCAGACCAAGGTGCTTTCGGGCTGCTAAACGGTGGGCCAGGATAGCCGGCATATGGCGGCATCTCTGCAATCTCCGCAAGCAGCCAAAGACACGGCCACAGCCACCCAAGCTTGGCAAAGCACAGAAAAAGACGAATCTGTGTCTGTGTGGCCCTCTGTGCGGTCATGCTACCAGCCTCCACATGGCGGTCTACAGCGTTGTAGCACATGTTGAGCTGGGCTCCTGGGCCCAACAGTATGGAAACAATGAACGTAAAGGGAGCATATTCAGTCTTCACTATATTCCGAGGGTGATGGGCAGGTCGCCCTGCAAGTTTGCCCCGCATGTCATGCTGCTCAAACGGCAAATTTCGGGTTGCGCCCATGCAGTCCTGCAAACCAGCGATAGAATGGTGGGTTCTTGTGGTCGAGAACCTGGGCTTGGCGCGAAACCCTGTTTTAAACCACTGCGCATGCCACAGCTTGCTAAAGGCTTTGCGTCAGAATCAGAACTCCTGGGTTTGCTGGCCTACGTGCCAAGATGCGGTGCTCCATGGCTTGGACCACGAGACCCCTGCAGCTGCACGAGACCAGAAGCCTCCGACTCGCGGCTCAGAGTGGCTTTTCCGTTTACACAAAAAAAGAGACACAAGTTTACGCAACATTCGCTCACAAATATCCTTTGGCCTCAAACATGTTGTATCAACTGGGGCTGGACCCTTCGGGCAAGCGCTTGGAAGGTACGATAGGTCAAGGAAAAGGCTCCGCAAATCTACGCAACGGTAATTTAGGAGGTGGGGCTCAAATAGTCTAACTCCCATCATGAGAAAGTTCGTGCCTTCTGGATCATCAATAGACTCCTGATGCAGCTTGTTGTAGCTTTCTCTGGAGATGTGCCTGCAACAGCACGCCCAACATATTACTAACTGCCAGTCTAACGATGCCGGAAAGAGCGCCGCGTTGCAACTGTACTAATGCCACGAGTGCTTGACATGCGCCGCCAAACCCTTCTCTTGTCTCTAGGCCTTCTCTACGCCTCTGAGCCTCCAGGCCTTACTGAGTTTACTACGATTGGCCGGAAAGAAGCTGATTTCGGGTTCTGGCCTCACTGCATTGAAAGCAGCCAGGGTGCGGCCAAGCAGGGCCTGCCTTGCCTGAATGGCTCAATGGCCAGAGTTGGGATGTTGAAGGTGAGTTAGCGACAGTACATGATAGCAGCACTCTCACCAAAACTTGCACTACTACAAGATATCTTGGCAAATTTCCGATGGACATCAATGGACAATTAGCCTGAATGCAGTGTGGCCACAAGTCTTTGCTGCAGGCAGCAGGGTAGCAGCAACATGGCGGCAGCAGAACGCCGCTTAAGAAGCCCTAACAACAAACGGTTGTTGAGCTGCATGGGCGGCGGTGTGCTGGAGAGCTGGAGAAAGCTCCAATCAACTTTCTCATGGTATCAGAGTCTTCTATCTTCTCATATCAAGACACTAAGACTATGTTATAATCATTACAGTAAAACTCCCATGCGCAAGAGCGCTGACTCAGCTGGCCTGCACGAAGCTGCCAGGATCCTTTGCAAGATCAGGAGAGCATCTCAAGTGCTCCGTTTCTTTCCATGACGCGCTGCTTGACGGCACTCCGGAAGAAAAGGCTCTCCAAGAGGGTGCCAAAGAAATTCAGAACAAGAGCTTCACTATCAATAGATTATCAATAGCTTCAGTCTACGCCGGTGCTGCATGAGACAGGCACTTAGCACAGATGAATACTCCAAGTGTCTCGAAGGAGCTGTGAGGTCAGAAGGTCCTCGGAGCCTGAAACTTGGATGCCACAACAGCGGCCCCAGTCCGAAACCTCTAAAATTTCTTCGGTGTTGTCCTGCCTTTGGCTGTAACTGCACTGATGCACTGCTGTGTTGAAATCGCCAACTTCGGCTTGTGCCCCGGACTCACATTGCTCAAACAAGCAGCATGCACATAAATTAACATCAACTTTGACATGAGTTTCCGCAAGCCAGGGCGCTGGGCCGCTGCGCCAGGGCCAGGGTACGCAGTGCCTCGGAAGCCATGGCCGCGAAGCTGTTGCGGATGGCCTCAATGACTCAATGTCACTGTCGTTCATGGGCAGGCGCTTCAGAAAGTATTGCAGGTTCTTCGCCTCGGCCCCGTAAGTTTTCCCATGGGGAGATAATTCACGTGCCGCGAATGTTGTTCCACAACTTGACCCCAGATACAGGCACGAAAATCCGTTCTCCGGAGGCTTCTTCTTTTTTTGGCAGGCTAGCCTCAGGAGCCTCAGGTGGGGCGTGAGAATGTCTGAGGATCATCTTGAGGTTTTTCGAAATCTGAAAGTCGTGAGATTTGTCTGGCCTCCTTCACATGGGAGAAAAGATGGTGCAAGGAGGGCCACGGGCCCTTCCTGCAAGGCCTTTCTTGTTTGTTTTCTTCACAAGAAACACCAAACAGAAGACTCGGCTTTTCTGTGGCAGGGAAAACCATTGCCTTTGTATTAGGCAGGAATAGGCAGGATATAGGTAGTAATAACAGAGTGGTACAAGTAGCACTGGCTGACAGTGGCCTGACGTCCGGCAGCAGAGAGCTCCACCGGCCCAGTGGGGAGGAGGATGCCTCAACTGCTGTCTCTTCTGAAGCCTGTGCTCAAATCACCATCCAAGTTCCACTCAACTAACCTAAACATATCTAAACATTATACTGGCTTCCATTCATTTTGTTGTCGTCCAGTGGCTTGAGCAGCGCTCCAGAATGCTCTCTGGAGCTCCCTTGACATAGAGCATGTCGCCACCAGCCTGAGGTTGGCCGTGCATGCAGTGCCACCGTCAAAACGGTCCGTGTGGCATTCTATGCCAAAAAGAATCACTCTGATTTTCGGTGCTCTTGGGGCAGAAGCTAGACGCTGCTTGTTCGGCCTGCGAGCAACATAGTATAACATACCCTTCGATTACGCATGAGATGGTGCCCGCTTTACAAGGACGCGGGACCCCCTCGAGCTTGAAATGGTTTTTGAGTTTAGGCATGTTCAAGGGCATGCTTGGACCAAGGGCACAGGCCTCAGCGCAAAGTACGCTCATGGACTTCCGGTCACGCGTGAACTCAAGGGTTGCCTTTTTGCGGGCGTGGGAGCCCCAGTACCTCGCGGAACAGATGGAGGACCCCCACACCTAGAGTTGCACGATCATCGAGCGCACGCTAGGGCTCTAGATTCTAGATGCTTGCAGGCTACTTGCGTTTATAGGCCTCCAAACAGCTATGCGTGACACCTGCCTGTAATTGTGTGTAGGTCTTCAATATCTCCGCTGCAACAGACAATTGAAGCCAATGAGTATGCGAACCTCCAGCCAGGATGCCTGCAGGAGAAGGCAGACTTTTCCCTCCGCATGCTGACTCACACCGTGCATTGTTTCTTGGCGCAAGCTTCTGTGGCTGCGCCTTGAATTGAAGTGCCATTAATACTGTACTAACTAAGGTTCACATGTCTCACAGCTCATCTTTTGGCGGGATCATTTTCTTGACGCAGTCGCAGACCGTCTTTGTCTGGCCGGTCTTCTCATCTTTGTCTTCTCGGTAGCCTGCTGCTTTCGCTGCAAGATCAAGACAACACATCAGGCATTTTACTGTCACGTGGAGTTATGCCTCATAAGGAGTGCCGAATCTCATGATGATCCGAGCCATGCAACGCAAAATCGGGAAGTCGTCATTTGGACAGGAGTGCGTCTGGCCATCCATGTCCCAACAGGGATGCGCTCTGCAGAAACACTCCTGGAACCGAAGCCCCACAAGAAGTATCGGTGGGCACGGACGATTATCTGCACTCTACTTTCGCAGCGTAACCCCACGCATGTGAGTTTGACGGTGCTCCTTGCTGGTGTCGTTATAGTCCAGGATTGGAAACTTCTCGTCCCGGCAGAACTGATCTTTGCAGAGGTGCTTGCTCAAATAGACCTGCAAACAACTCCCAACATAGTGTTACTGTTTCTTGTTCCGTTAAGCGAACCTAGGCACAGAGTCACAAACATTTGTCGAACATAGTGTTAGTGTTTCTTGGTCCGTTAAGCGAACCTAGGCACAGAGTCACAAACATGTCTCGAACCTGCAACCTAGGCATCCTGAGGCATGCAGACCCTGGAAGGAGATGAGGGTGACAACGCTGATTAAACTGCATGAGCCCATGCGCTCAACTCTACCTTTCTGGCAAAGTAACTCTTTAAACTTGAAAATGGCATTGATGCAGCTTCAGTGGCGCTTTGGAAGAAGGGGTGCGCCGCGCACTCGCACTTCAGGTTCAGATCCTGGCAACAAATTCAACAAACCCAACATCAGAATTAGAATTTTGGAGCTCTTTTGGAGGTCCAGCCTTGTCGTAGTGGAACACAAGGTATGGCATCGCTGCTTCTGGACAACTGTGGAGTACCCCACTATCATCCCAGCACGGGTGCGATCGGCAGACGCACTTCCTTGGTTCATGTGATGGTCAGACTTACCCCATGGGCCCCATGTCACCATGCATTTTGCCCTTACGATCAGTACGAAGGGAGTCCTAAACTGCTGCGCAAGCATCTTCTGGTCCGCATCATAATCCAGCATGGGATGGTTTGGAGTCTCACAGATCTGGCCACGGCACATGGACTCCAAATACATGGAGCTGGCGGCTGCGCCAAGAAGCATTTGCCCGAGGATTGCCACCAACATGGCCATGGGCACGAACTATGTGGAGCAAAGGGCTGTCTTCTAGCAGCCCCTCCTGGAAGCACAACTCTGCAGCATGACAGTCTTCATGACGAGCATATGGCCATGGTGAAGCCAATATCTGTGACTCGTGACCAAAGAAATATAAGAGCCTAAACAAGCTCAGCAACAAGCTCAGCAAGGTGGAGCACTTGCAGAAGGCCATCGCATCTTCACGCTCACGAGGTCTCTGCCAGCACCGCCCTTAGAAGTAGCTTACAGTAGGTCATCTAGGTCCGCCCACTGCAATACGGTCATGAAAGCTCCCAGTCAAGGAGCTAAAGTGCGACTTGTCAGTGCAGGCATGTGCTCACCAAACTGAACTCCCTGCGCAAGGCAGTTAGCTGAAGCCTGATCCGCCTTATGCAGTATCTGATTCTCCTCTGCACATGCTCTCGCACATCCCACTTTTTCCTGAACCATGCATGACCTGGCACCCTAGCCACCGGACAGAATAAATCTTGTTGATTCGTGAATGTGGACAGCATATCTTTCAGCAAAGCAGCCATGTAGTGATGGGTCAGGCACACCAAGCTTCTCGACCAGTGTCAGCAAAGCAGCCTGTGCCATGAGAACTCTCAGATGCACGCGGCAGGAATTACCCACGCACAGACAAGGAAGCGTTGGACTTTGTCCTCGGAAAGATTCAAAAAGCCCCATTGAAAGCCTTGGAAGCCTGTGATTGCCTTCTGTTTTGTCAAGCCGTGCCTCAGTCGGTTCGCCCATTCTTCGGAATGATCCTGTCTCAACTTCTAACCTGCGGCTCGGAGAGGCTTTCAGCTGAGGTTTTAGGGAGTTGTGGCCGCCTAGACTCGTTGCAGACCGCTGCGATCTTCGCAAAGGCTTGCAAGTTGCCTTGTTTCTGCCAGTCCTTAGGGAAGGCAACTCTTCAAGTTAATTAACATCCGCTTGCGGAATAGGCATCACTTCAAGTTAATCAGGAACTGGACCGGAGCCCAAGGATCAGACTTGAGCGATTGTAGCCCATTGACCTATTGTGCCTTGCATTGCAGCTTTGCGGCCACCTCGGCCAAACCCTGTATCAATCCGATCGGTGCATAGCTGTGGCCCTCCACGATGTAGGAAACCATCTGAGAGCCTGAGCTGAGCAATGGTTTCCTGCGTTCTGTGCCGCTCCACGCTCGGAACGTGGCTGCAAAACAGGGGCAAACGGCAAACGCAGCGAGGGAGCTCGACATAGGAAGAACCAGCCTCGTGCAACACATCTCCTGGGCGTTTCCGAAAAATGGGGGGGGGGGAGGGGCGTTGTGTGACGCACAAACAAGGCGGGGCTGAGCGTGGTGTGGAAAAAGGTGTTGACGAATACCGAATACTCATGGCTGAATGTGGCAAGCGTTGGGTGCGAAGGGGTTGGCAATGTCAGGCGAACCTAGGCATTGTCTATGAATTTAGGCCAACCCCTCAACAATAAGTCACAAGCGAGTAAAGATCCATAAGTTTACACTGCAAACCTGCGGGAAGCTAGTGGAGCATGCATCCATGTCACATTCGTGGTGAGAGTGCCGGTCTTGTCCGAACAGATTACCTGAGATGGACACATGGCCAACTAACCATACGTAGCCGTAGCCGCTAAGGCTGGTACAAATAAGAGACAGCAACTGCACACGACTGCACACAACAGCACCACTGAAGCACCACTGAACATGGACTGAGTCGACTGAGTTCCCACAGAGAAGCCCGGAGCCTGGTGCTGTCCAGGCCTGCAAAAGACTCCAGTAGGAGTCTGTCTCCATCATTTGACTGAGATGCCGATGTGCACCCCAGCGTCTCCACAGAGGGCAGTTTGCGCACGATGGCGTTCCTCAGACTGCAGACTGCCCCGCAGACTGAAACAGGCTCTTTTTGCTTGCTTGCTCGCGTTAATATGCGCGCGTTGACGACTCAATCAAGAAATGCTGATGGGTCGGCTCTCGCATGACTACATCTTGCTACCCTCGAGGACCCAGTTTTCTGTGTCAGATTCCTTCCAGGCTCTTCGCGTGAATCGCATGCATGTGTGCACAAGTTCACCCTCAAGATTTCCTCCTTTTTGCTGCAAGGGGCTTCTTCGCCATCTCGCTTGTGCCTGATCCGTATCATATCACGCAAAAGGTCTTGAAGTTCTGCTGCGCAGATTCGCAGCATGCTGAGGAATCGACAGAAGCAACCGACAGCAACCAATGCCAGGTTTAAGCAATGCCCAGCAGCAGAAATCTGCTGAAGCCTCTGAAACACGCCTTGTAACCAACCCTGATGCGCATTGATGCTCTCTGGCCCTCCCCTGTGCTTATGCCTAAAGCGAGGCAGGTGGTGATCACGGCCGGTAGACCTCCAGCACAAGGTTTTGGGATGTTTATGCAATTGCTCAGCAGGTGCACCACCATTTGCTACAACTCTGAAGCAGCCTTCTGGAATGGCAGCAACCGCGAGAGCAACTGCGATCCTGAGCAATTTTGGAGTCCAAGCACATACGCACCGGCAAGACTATGAACGGACTCGAGCACAGTGACGGGGATCCTTACAGAGTCTTTGAGCTCGTTCCGAAGTCGGACCTACAGTGAAGACTGAGGGCCGACGGGCCTGCAACAGGCTCTGACTCCTGCGGCTACTTGCACAGAAAAACGCATTCTGCGTTCTGCCTTTGCGGCAAAGCTAAGACTTAGGAAACCATCCTCCTGCAAACAGACATCACCACTTGGTGGAGATCTGTATAAGGACATTTCCCATCGCTGGGATTGCCGGGGACATTAAGTTTGTGCAGCAAGTTAATTTCGCGCCTGCCTGGAGCACAAGCCTTCCTACTGCACTATTTGACTATTTGCACTGGCATCGATGGATGTCGTTTGTCCGCACTGCAGGCAGGGTCACACATGCGGAACAACGCCAGTCAGGTTTTAACATGGCTTGTACGCTGCCATCTCAAAGAATAAGAACTCATATGCACTGGTCCGGGATGACGTATCAGGGACGCTGGCAGTTGCATGGTGTCTGCTTGGGTGTGGGGCACTACATGTGTTGGAATGGACGTCCTTCCTCTGCAGGTTGCGCAAAAGTGTCTCTGATGCAGCTTGCTCAGGCTCCCGGATGTCATCAAGCATTATCAAAGAGTTGGATAGGCTTCCCGGTCGTGGACAAGGTGATGGCACAACAAATTTCAACATCTGTCACAGTCGGCTGTAGCAGCATCAACCAGAACGACGTTCTGGCATATGTCATTTGCTAAGCGACTTGTCTCAAATTTACAGTAGCGCCTTGGCCAGTTCCAGGGGGCAGAGAGCTCACAAGCTTCTCGTGAACGGCTCCCTCAAACTGCCGACTCGCTCGATTCCACGCGAGTCCTTGCCATTCGGTCAACTGAGTCAACTGGTCTCAAGGAGCAAACTTCCACCCCCAAAAACTTCAATAGAGATGCCCTCACATGCAATCTCTCGCCTGCTTTTCTGCAGCAAGCCGCTTTTCTGCTGCGCGCTTCCCCTGTCCTCACAGGATGGCACAGCTTAAACCTAGCCTAGTCAGGCGCGTGCCTTGCAGTGTGCTTTGCAGTGTGCTTGCGCTCTTGAATCTCTTGAAAGGATCAGTCCTTGGAGCCGGAACTTCCGGGGTCTGGCTTGCGCTTGGGCTCAACGCCCTCAGTCTCCAAGGCTCAGGGGTGGATACAACGGAACATAGAATGACACATTGCTCATAAAACATGTCCAGAATCCAACCAATATTCAACATGCACAGGAATTACGAACAATGATCAAGTCAGCAAGCCTAATCGGTACAGAAGCGCGCGATGGAGGCAAGGTTCAGTGGCTGCCTTTTTTATGGACTGACCCTTCTTTGGAGCTGCTCTCGGCGAAGGGGTGTCTGTCCTGGGCTGGCCCCACGTGAGGTGTCGAAGAAGGCGACAGTGTAAGATTTTAAGGTTCAAAGCCCCCGAAATCAACAAAGCCTGCTGCGATATGGAGATATCCTTAACGAAGACTTTTCAACGTTCAGCGAGAACAAAACACAGCTGAAGACGGGCTTCGTGACTTCGACTTCCGCATCGCCAGGCTCTTGCGGTTCACCAGCCTCAACCTGCATGGGCACCAAGTTTGCACCGGCCCTAACAACGGACTCCAAGTCCGTGCCGTGGAGATGCAGCGCAGAAAACAAAAACACTCAGAATTCACGCTGTGAGGTAAATAAATACATAATCCCCAGAGAAAACCGACAAATTCTTCGGTGACGATCGAGACTGTGTCGCCCCCAACTTCGCCTGATGAGTAAGGATAGGATTAGTAAAGCCAGCTTCTGTTTAGAAAGTTGGCAGAAACAATGTTTTCCAAAAAGCCATTTTAAGAGGTCCCAGAAGAGGACTTCATAGGAATGGCTTTTATGGATATTCAACGCTCAGTAGATTTTTGCGGCTCAGAAGATGTTATCCTAGGGTGTGGCCTCTTAAGATGAAGTTCTGTCTATAATTTACGCACGAACGAAGCCCACATGAAAATTCAATAGGGTGTGGGCTTGTGATATGAAAAGCAATTTTCGATCAATTACGAAGGAAGCCGAGATGAAGATTTCGTAGGCTGTAACGTCTGAATATGAAGTTCGAATGAGTTTTTGCTACGAACAGGCATGCCCCAGAAGAGGATTTCCTGGGCTGTGCCAGAAGAGGATTCATTACGGTGTGGCCTTTGGATGAATATTTCTCATAAAGCTGTATTACGCATGATGCCAGAGGATTTCTCAGAGAAATTTCTCTAAGAGTGTGGGCTTTTCATCTCGGCTTCGAATTGGATTGAAATGTGAATATGATGTGGCCGAAAAGCTTTTCGACCTAGACCATTTGGGGGGGAGGGGGGTGAGCACATATGTGTGACTGTGTGTGTGTGTGTGTGGCTGTGCGCGTGCGTATGTGAATGTGTATGTGTGTATATAAAAAGTGTGTGTGTGTGTAAAATGTATAGATAAATGCATAAAACATACATACATACAGACATACATATATAGAAATATATATATATATATATATCCTAAACCCCATGGCCTCGACGGCCACCGGCTCAGAAAGCTCGTTGGAGTTGTCTCCTGAACCTGCGAGTAAGAATGCAATATGGGGGTTTACGCAATAGGGGACCCTCGTTTAGACTAGGATCTCAGTATAACAAGGACCCCAATAAGGTACCGCTACTTCGCCTAATATCGTAAATCCCCATATCCGGTTTGGCAGCAAGTTTGCGACAGATTGCAAGCAGCCTTGCTTGGGTAAGCGGCGGGCGCACATGGGCTTGTACAAAAACACCACTCATGCCTTTGGCATCAATGAAGCACTTCGACAGCTTGGGGTTAAACTACTGAGGTGCTGACGCGCTACAGAGGCCTTCTTGCAAGAAGCTCGCGCATAAAAAACGCCGGCACAAATTCTTCGGCCTTGTGGTGGAGTCGTCTTCGAGCTTGACTTATCTTCAAAGAAGTTGTGGAGCGCTGATTTTCTGAATCTGCTTGGCAAAGGCCATCGCGAGATTTGCAGCTGCTTGTCTAGACTCGGGTCCAGACCAGCGTTTGTAACCTGTTGTAAGACCCAGTGGGCACGGGTTCAACCTGGAACTTTCACGGTTTGTTCTGAGACCCAGCCTTGGCGATTTCGATTGGTACTTGCAAGCTGCAAGCGTTGCTATGATGAGCATTGCCCGTTGTATAACCCAGCGTCATCGTTTGAATTCTTCATTTTGACGAGACAAATACACCGTCAGTCCGACGTCGCATTTCGATGAGCCGGGGAGTGTTTTTGCACGATGATTGCTACACACTTGGATTCCACGAAGCAAGCGTCGACCGCCTGGCTGTGCTTCTGTTGGCTTGCCGATGACTGCGACGGCACCCGCGCTCCTTGGCTCAAAAGTGCATGAGAGTCAGAGTTAGATAGGTGGCCCATTGTTGTCCTGGCCAAATAATATGGCAAACAGCTGAACCAGCAGAAGGCCCGGCAAAATCTGAAACAGAACACAGTTTGGGCAGCCTCACTGCTTGAGGCCTTGAGGACCTCATTGCCGGGCGGCGTGGGTGAACCATTCGCAGCCTGCGCATAGCGGATGTTGTGTCGGCACTGGCATGTGCTGCCGCGTAACAGTCCGCTGGCATTTTGCCCAGGCACCGACGCAGGTGCTCTGCTGCCGGCATGCCTGGTGAACTCAGGCGCGACAGGGTCAGAACTCCCTAATTAGCCTACTCGTTTCTTTGCTGCGGAAACTGCACTACTGACTGAAAGAACCTCTCAACAACGGTACCTCGATCCCACCCGGAAGACCTGGCAGGATGATAGCCAGCTTCTACACCACCCACAAATGCTGCGTCGGTGCAGTCTGTCCGCTTCTGACATGTCTGCTTCCAGGAGGCCATTCTGCACAGGAGCTGGGGCATTATAGAACAATAGTGTGCAGCAGCTCATCCAGCACATGGAGCAGCAACAGCAAAGGGACTCTTGGCAAAGATTGTAGTTGACGGGCCTCCTCTACCAAGCTTGCTGTGGATGCACTACCTCAGATGGGCATAATGGCAGTGGGAATCAAGTCTGGAGACAAGGTGGGCCTGCTGTTTTATACACTTTCAAACGCACTCGTCCCTGTCCAATGCTTGCCCTGTATACCTGTGACTGCGGTCTCAAGCGGTTGCTCATGACAGCACTTGTGCGCAAGAAGAAGCAAACAAGTCTTGCGGAAACTGCCGCGAAGACTTTCCAGCGAAAGATGTCATCGGCAGCCCACTCCCGAACTCATCCCGACAGATACTCTGAATCTTCGTCATTGGACCCTTCTTCTTGCGGCTGCGGAGGAATCCTCGGAACATTTTTGCGTGACAATTGTTCAGGGAGCTGGCCGAGGCCCGGAGCCTCAAACGTTCGGGGATTCTTGGCGAGTTTCCGGCCGGAAGGGGCAAGGCCGGGAACTTGCAACAGGTGCTGAGAAAAGAAACCCTATTGAGGGCGTTTACCGAAATTTAGCACATGTAGCAACCTTTAACCCTCTTGGAGCACTTTTCGGTGAGGGCATGCTTCGAACATTGACGTGACGTTCCATCGAGACATACACATGTCAAACAGGACCGTGGTCCGTGTCAGGGTCTCAAACTTTAGGCCCAAGCGCGCGACACGCCACAGAGGAGGTGTGGGGTTGGTAGGGGGAACCCACGCATAGGCGTTCCATGTGGGCATGAAGGTTGTAGCAAAGCACCAATGACGAGCTGCAGAAACAAGAAAGGCCAGGAGGTCCATGAAGGTCATAGGCGCATGGTGCATATTCCCCTTTCCAGCTGTAAGCACTGTAGACACTGTAGACACTGTAGAGGTCCTAGCGTACTCGGCAGGATTCTTCGCAGGATCCTTCTGGGGAACTCCGGGAATTCTCTGCGGGGGCCTGGGCCAGGAGACCCGGCAGGAGACCCGGCCCAGGAGCTGTTGAAAATCCATTCCAG